CATCACACAATACTTCCTGTGCATAGATGTGACGCTAAACACAACTCCACAATAACTTGTTTTCATGTCAACCTGGTTAAGTTCATTTTAACCCTCCAACAACATTTGCTAACTGATTAACAGTGGCATGGGTCCAATTCTTAGCATGAAAACCTAAAGGTTAACTTTTGTTCAGGGTTTAAAAATATATATCTTGGCCACTTTACTAGATACAACTGTACAATTGTATGCAATTCGATGCAACACCTCCGCTTTAACATCTGTGTTTATGAAGCTCAACAGGTTTCAACTTTTGGTGAAATTGTCGTAAATGCATAAATTCAGTTCTATGTTTATTATTGAGCTCATAGTTAAAGGTTGTGTTGTACTGGACTACATTATATTCAGAAGTGTCTCTATATTTTTGTCCTCCCCAGTTACATATATGACAGGGTCAGAATGTTAGAAACACTTCTGAATATAATGTAGTCCTCAGTGGGTGGAAGTGTTGCATTGAACTAAATGCAGTTGTACAGGTGTGCCTAATAAAGTGGCCCATGAGTGTTTCATTTGTATGTATAATACCTGCAAATGTTGCATTAGCTGTGGTCAATAAAATCTTTATAATAAATAAATAATAGCACATTTAATAAATACATAAATAATCCTCATCACATATCAGCATGGTGGCGCAGTGGTTAACACCGTTGCCTCACAGCAAGAAGGCTCTGGGTTCGGGCCCCACCGCATTTCTGTGCGGAGTCTGCATGTTCTCCCCGTGCTTGCGTGGGTTCTCTCTGGGTGCTCCGGTTTCCTCCCGCAGTCCAAAGACATGCGGCTTAGGTTGATTGGTGTCTCTAAATTGCCCATAGGAGTGCGTGTGTGTGTTGTTCGTCTATGTGTTAGCCCTGCGATGGATTGGCGACCTGTCCAGGGTGTACCCTGCCTTCGCCCGATTGCTGGCCGGGATTGGCTGTGGTGATGTCCTCAGCAAGAAAAACCGGTTGTAAAGGTGGAGTTCCCCCTTTAATTCCTTGTTGTCTCTTTGGAGCACCTGCAGCACTTGTGTAAGCCAGTCCTTAAGAGCGACTATGACGCCCCATCCATATATTTTTTTTTCATTGTCATAACTGTGAGTCACCTGTGGTGGAGGCGGCGTTGTTGGCAAAGGAATTTCAGGGTACAGGTTTTCTAGAATATTCCTTATTTGAACTAAATGAATATGGAGTCTGTTCTTGACGTTTGACAAGGGCTGTGCAATAGATTCCGGGTTTCCCCAAACTGTAATTTGATATTCTTCTACCTTTGAAATGTGACAAGAAAAAAGCACATTCTTGGTGTAGATGTCCTGCAGCTTCTCAGAAATGGTAGCACCGGATATTGTGGATTCAGGAACATCATTTGGAATTGAGCCCGTAGGTTCATGAACATTTTTCTGTAAAAAAGAAAGGGTCACCATGAATCTGCATGTGAAATGAATTGATCAGTGTAAAATGCACACATCTTTCTTTTTTAATCGTACAAGAGCAAAATAGCACACATTACAGTGTCAGTGGTGTTAAGAATTCAGCCATTATTCATTTGTTTTTAAATGAACTACAATATGTTGACAAGATTTTCTTTTTACAAATCATCCCAAGTCATGAGGACAGTTGGGATAGTTATGGAAACTGATCTAAAATTCATGTTAATATATTTAGATGTTATAATTACATTTCTGTCAAATAGTTTTAATTTTATGTGGCAAAGTCCATCATTCCTGTGCTGGATTCAAACTGTCTTCACATGCATTAGGCATTCATAAGAAATGGTGCTTGCATATAGATCAGTGTTACTGATTTTAGTTGTACCTATAATATTAAATGTTACTTGCAGCTACCACATTAATCATGGCTGTCAACAAATTCACCAGGATGGAAATCTAAATAATTATAACTTTAAAGATCAGTGCACCTTTAAACTGACTTTGTTTGAGGTGAAACGGGTTCACATCTGCCAGAGAGATACTGCAGTCTACAGTTTGATTAATCAGCAGGGGATTTACTGTACATTTGTTTTTGCACAGAGATCAAATAATCAGAGCACTATGAATGAGTAAAGATGAGCTCATGATGTTGTCCTAGAGTGTCAAACATCTCAGCAATAGCAATGCAAAAGCCTATGAGCTCACATTTACAATCCATAAAAGGCAGAAGGGGAGGATGAAATTCAAACAAAAAGCTGTAAGATCACTTTGAAAGTAATTAGATGGAACATTGTGGGTGTGGTGTATGAATGTTAACACTTTGTAATAATTCTTTAGTATATTACTTGTGTGGTGTAGAAGTGAATCATTTACTGCTTGCAAACCAATGATGGTAAGATGATGTTATGGGGTAGGACTGGATAAGTCTGACTTCTTCCTACTCCATTCAAGCATGTACTAGGTATAAGCAAATTGATATTGGATTATGTGTAAAACTATGTGTGTTGTCATATCAACTGTCTTTACATGCTTGAAAGAATAAATCAAATCAAATCAAAGTATAACTTCAGTTATATTTTTTAGAAATCTTGCGCCAATAGTGGTACAAAGAAACAGAGGTCAAATAGGAATTTTGATCATGTGACTGATCAGTTTAAGATGAATGGATAAAGTGAAGCATTTTGCATCTGCTAACAAAAACTGTACTAGGTGCAAAATGTTTCCAGTAGCAGAGTGTTGTGCATTGTTTCAGCAAAATGTGGAAGAAATAGTAACTCAAAGGTGTTATGGGCCTATGAAATATGACAACATAACGTATTCACTGAGCGGTACTTACATATTCATTCAGTAGTTCTCCTGCTTCATGTAGCAGTGCTTCCGTAACACGCACAGCACTCTCTATGTCATTAAAGACGGTCATGGTTGGAGCAGAAAACACTGACCTCCACTGGACTTCCAAGAGCATGAAGGCAAGTACTAATAAAAGATCATGTTTGGTGGAATTATTTAAACTGTAAACAAATGGAACCTGTGACAAGGGATCACATGCACACATTACTTTGTTTTAAGTAGTCATAAGCCAAAAAAAAATTGGGTGCCTGTCTTTGGTTAATGACAAAATCTTAAGGCACCAAAAGCTACTGCACATTGGTTTCTCAAGTTGTCAAGAAAGACATAAAATAAATAACATAAATACAGAATTGAATAAGATTCCCTAAATACTGATGGCTAACTAGAGCTCCCTGCTGTAAGCATCACTGACTCCTGTATTCTAAGTGAAATGGAAATGCTCTAACATCACAGGACGTAAATAAGGTCTTTGACATGTATGGCTTCCTTCCTTTTAAAATTTGTAATTTAATAATTTGCCACAAAAACTACAATTAAGTATTCATTTGAGGAGGAATGGTCTTCCCCTGGTATTCTGTATACAGTAGGTGTGCACATTCACTACAATATGCTAAACTAATAAATGTACACTCTGACATATTGATGTATGTATACAAGTTGGCTTTTAACATAATTTATAACTTAAATAACAAATCAAATTTTTTATATGAAGTATTAAATATATTAAAACATGAACTAAGAATGTACATTAAACATTTTTTAAAAATATGTTATTTAAAGATATTTACCATAGTGCCACTGAGTCCATAGTTGACTGGATTTATGATCCATAGTAACGGCCTTGCTTAAAAATAAGTGGTTGTTGATACACAAACTGCATAAAAACAGCAAGGTGCAACTGTGTAAAATACATTTCACTGGTAAACTGGTCTATATATACACACAGTATTTCAAGTGTACTGTCATTTATGTCCATCCCTACTGACACACACCCACCCACCCTCACACACTATGTGGAATATGATGCATGTTTTCTTGTCTACATCACTCATGTTATGACGTTGTGGCACTTGCCACAGCCTCAAAGGTGTGACTTAAATGTTTCACATGTTCCTCAGATAATATCTTGCAGATTAAGATTCACAAACTCTCATAAAAACAAAAAAGTCACCAGACATAAAACGTACCAAACCATGAAGAAAATATCCACACATTAATACGCCATTTCACTTTACATTGTATAATTGAGGCTTCCGAGAATAAAATAAAGATGTCGAAGAAATTGGGCAAAGTCAGCACAATTTGTAGTGAATTCAATGAGTTTGTCCTTCAGTACTGTGGTTCCCAAGCCCAAAGGAATAGTAAGGTGATTGAGGGGTCACAAGATGTTTAATGAAATACTGTACATGCTGCAACATAACCACTTTTTATGACTCATAATGAAGCAGCTCAGTGCCATCTTATACACATAGAATAAATACTGTTGGCAGGTTTTTGCCCTTACCTCTCTGATGGGAGCTTTCCGGATATGGGGCTTGTCCTTCTGGTGTTCCTCAAGGTTCCATTCTGGATCCCATTTTCTTTGATTCCCCTTGGACAGATGAGCTTAAAGGCATATCTCAGTTATAGGCTGATGACGTTCAACTGTACTTTTAATTTCAACCTAAGAATATCCTAAAAGTGACGGTTTTAAATAATTTCTTTTTAAATAAATCCCATAGATGACCATTATTTAATTTTCTGCAGATAAACAGCGGGTGCATGTTGCTAAAGCAACATATAGAGTTTGTTTCATTTTCAGAAAAAGTCTGCTAAAAGCCAAGGTCAAAGATGTAGGTCAAAGGCCTTATTTGCTCCCGTTTTTACCATTTGAGGAACAATCTCTGTCCCAACTCTAGCTAAAGATTTTTAGGCTTTTATGGGGATTTTTATACATCACCACAGATTCAAAAACAAAAATGATAATGCCTTTCGAGGTGGTGGCTCAAAACTTCCTTCTATAGCAAGGACAGGCCAAGAACCACAGCATTTTCCAGGAAATGCAATACTATTACTACAGTCATCTCATTTGTTCAGTCCCTGTTAAGACCATAAATGGTCTGACATGCTGAACGGTAGAGGCAAGATCCGCCTGTCATGAGGTATTGACTAGTTGTTGGTAAATGAGGTTTTAAAAACTCATTCATGTCAAGAAGTGAACAAAGACTTCCTGTTTTCTATACTCTTTATTGAATGAAGCAGCACAAAAATTATACATTTCTATAGAATACTTTTTCCTTTAAATTGTACAAAATGTAGATCTACCAAAGAAAACGTCCAAGTGATATTAGCTAACAAGTCTATTGTGCAAATAACAAAAAGACCTAGTGTTAATGACCTATAGTTAGGATATGCTGACCAAAAGAAAAAGAAAAAATTGTAGCAGTGAATACACAAGAACTACCTGCACATTCTGAAATGGGAGAGCCGTGTTGTTTAAACAAACAAAAAGTTTCATTTTGCATGAAAATTCCAGACTACTTCCAAACTAAGATTCTTCATAAAACATTGTGATATAAACATTACTGTTATGTTTATACCACCGGTGAAATATATGTGTGTTCTGCTGTATGTAGCAAAATAAACAGTTCAGACCATTCAACGAGTCTCTATATAAGAGAGCAAGAGAGTCCATCATTCATGGTTATAGGTCTCACTTTTTTGCATTTTGGTGTGCTTGTGCGACATGGTGGGCCCTCTGGGACTCAGTGCATCCTGCCTTGGGAAAGGTAAGACAGGAGGCCTCACAGGCAAAATGTATGTGCACGCCACAAAGAAGCGCTTCATTGCAAGTTTATAGTAGGTAATACTGCTAGCAGTCCAGTGCTAGTCTAGGCACAGAGTAAACCTCCTTGCCTGCTGACCTGCCACTCCTGGCCACTGGCAGCCAGGATCGCCCAGCTCAGATGTAACTTCAGAAATCAGCTGTTGGCTGGTTCATTCCTCTGATGATGGAGCATGTCTGCCACACTTACTATGTCCTCCTCGGGGACCTGAAAAAGAAAGTTAAAGTAGTACTGGTTGACTTAGCTCTAAACTCAACACTGACACATTACCACCTTATAAAGTTAATGAACATGTTAGCAAACAGTTACCTACTTACACATCTGGCAGACATGGAACACAATTAGCATTCATTTGGAAGTAAATCTCCCACATTCAGCAGATTCCATTAAATTAACTGGCATTTCCCTTAGACTTTATTGAAGATAAAATAAATTAGAACAATGTACTGAAGTATGAGCCTAGGAGTGACCTCCCGTCATCCCCTATGCACATGTTCTAATGACGCAGCTTTGTTCTGTTCAATGTTAGGAAATGTTCTCAAATATTTCTATTATTGCAACTACCTGATCAGGAGCTTTCTGAATGACTTCCATCCTATTTATTCTTCCTCTTCACAAACATTTAGCTTGTGTTGACTACAGAGTCTGCTAAAAGTAAAATATTACCTCCAAATCTATACTTCTACCATAATACCACAGCAGAGATAATCTCCCGTGACCTCATTTATTTACCAGGCAGATTAGATTCAAAGAGTTCCTCCTAAGCAGGAGTCACTGTGATGTCACACCTAGTTTAATTTTTTTCCATTGGAATTTGTTGTTTATTATTAGACCAGTTTGCACAGTTCTGGTAAATACCAAATTCTGTCATTAACAAGGTGCAATGACTTTCTGTGACTAAGATGTTTTATGGTTATATTAAGTTCAACAATAGTGCAATACAGTGAGTCAAACTCCTTTCCAAAACATTTTAACAGTTGCCCAAACAGTAGGAGAATACCTAAAGATTCAATATCATGACAAAGGTCATGATGAATACAGACTCCATTCATCCTCATTTTACTTGCATTTTTCAGTATTTAGCAATTAGGCAGCCCAAGTACCTCAGACTAGAAGATAGTATGAATACTTTACATTACAGGGGAGGGAGAGCAGAAAGAGAGAGTTTTTTTTTCTTTTTAAAACAGCAATCGCTGATAATGCAATTAATCAACGTTGTACACTCACTTCTCATGGATCACACCATTTAAGACTGGGAAAATCCTTCAAAGTGGAGCCAAACCACAAAACAGTCTACAGAAACCATTCATCCAATATCTATACCTCTTATTTCTGAATAGGAGCGTATGCCAGGGGCGAGAGGCAGGGTACACCCTGGACAGGGCCGACACTTAGAGACCACATACACACACACTTCTATGGACAATTTAGAATTGCCAATCAACCTACATGGACTACCTTTGGATTGTGGGAGGAAGCTGAAGTACCAGGAGGGAAGCCACGCACAGTGACCCAAGGTGTCAGCCCAGACCTGAACCTGGAATCTTCTTGCTGTGAGACGACAGCGCTAACCACAGCACCGCTGTGCCACCCAGGAACCAGGTATGATTGATCATTTGAAGAAAAGACAATTTTGGCACTGTCTGGTGACAGCACAAGGATGCTTATGTAGGAGGTAAATTTGATTTTGCTGATTTGCACAGTGACATAAATTCTGCATAAGATAAACCATAAGATGACCTACATAAACCTTTCTTGGTAATTTCTGTGATGCGAGTTGCTGACAGAAAAAAAAATTAGAAAACAAAACCAACGGTGGAGTTTCAGATCACATATGCAGTAAACTTGCACACACCTCAAAAACACTGTTTTACATGAATATACCAAGAGCCAGCGTTACAAGGCTTCCTGTTGAAAAGGATCCTTATTAGGTCATGTAATAAAAACCTGACCATATATAAAATAATGTTGATCAAAAAACTTCATAGATACATTTTATTTTACCTTAAAGGTTCATTTAATCTCCATAAATTCCACCAAGATAAAAATGACAAAAAGTATACTGAAGAAGTAATATATAAATGAAATGTTTCAGAGAACACACATTATTTAAATACAACATTCAAGAAGCAATTTAAAGTAAATAAAAGTGCTTTATTTGTTAAACTGTTTTGTGTCAGATCAAGATTTTAGGGTCCAATCATTTTAATACTGCTTTTGTATAAATACACATCTGCATAACAGAATTTTTAAAATCATATGTTTAAGGCGGTTTTATGCCGCTACATGTGGGCTGTAACCCACCTTTGAAAATGAATAGTTTTTAAATCCTCAACATGAAATCCATCTCAATAAGGGCTTTTTATTAATTTCTAGAAGTGATTTGGATTTTTCTTTCTTCCATTAGTGCATTTTTGGTCACCTCTCTAGTGTCTTCTGCTCTTTTTTTCTAAATATATTTAAGATAACTGATTCATCTTCAAAATTTACCAGGGTCAGGTAACAAGCTCACATGAGCGGAAACACCCTGAAATGATTTTTAACCGCTAGCCCTGAGCTTCCCTCTTGAGTAAACCTCACAGGAATGCTAATAATGTGACATATGCTCGGTTTTATCAGTCTCCATTTCCCACATTAAGAAACAGAGCCAAACCTTAAGTCTTTAAATAGCCATGTAATAGAGTGCCATACGGATGACGTATTTTTGTAGGCCAATCCAGAAGTTAGCATCGCCTCGTATCCTTCGATAAAAAGTCAGTGGGATTTTTCCATAGGCTTTTGGATTGGATTGGCAAACATAAGCTTATTACACATTTTGTTCAGTAAAATAATCACAAGTGAACACCACTTTATGATTTTTGAAGCCAAAATACAATCGCCAGAAGTAAAAAGCTATTGTTAGGCTATAAAAGAACTACACCACGGTCCCATGACTTGAGCATCACCACCATGGCTTCCGATTCGTAATTGGATTTGGTGAGCACACCAAACATACATTCTACAAAATGCTTCTCTTAGCGTAACCTGATCTAGCTAGTGATCATAACTGTGTCAGAATAGTTTGCAAGTGTGTGAGTACCAATACAACGGGGCTGTAAGGGTGGACTAGTGAGTAGATGAGTCACTGTGATGACGTTTAATATACCTGACAACCTCTGCAGATAAAAGACTTGAAAATCCTGAGTGAGGTATTAATCACATATTTTGTCTGCTAGACTAAAACATGCAAATATATTGGCCTTGTGTTAACCACAAACCTTATTTTGTTTGTCTAACTAAAAACCCATAAAAAAAACCAACAACATTGATTTCTGGGTGAGGGAACTGGAAGTGCAAAAATGCTAACTAATTTCTGGGTGTTAGGACTCACTCCTACAGCACTATGCATTTGATTCACAAACGTACTGACTTTGAAGCTTTCACTTCCATGACAACAGCAGAAATGACACGGACATGTTGGACTCACCAGAGCATGGTCGAAGCTGAAGGTGCTTATGTAATAGGCAGAGATGTCACTGTCAGCCAGAGGCTGAGATATCTGAGCAACTATACCACATTCATCTAGAAAACAGAGAGAGTGGAGGAGAAACTCGCTGAAAACAGGACCGCAGTCATAAACAGGTGTTAAAATCTGCTACAGATTTCTGTCTGTGTATTAATTTAAAAAGTCAACAAGCAAGTGATTTAAACCTACTAACAACTGTAAATTCAACAAATGTAAAGAAAAACACACAAGACAATAGAACTGACACTACAGAGTCTGTTACATAGTTTCCACCTCAGCATATGTCTGACCAATACACAGACTTTGCTTTGATTTATTTGGTCAGAGTAAGACCATTTTATATATACTAAAACATTTCTGATTTGATTTGCAGCAACAGTCAGACACCAAAGCAACGTGTTTGATCCCCGCAGGGGGAAGCAACTCCAGATGCACATGGGAATGTACTATATGACTGACATGCTTCTAAGCTGTATGTAGAGTAAGCTGCTACATTTGGAGGCATATACAACAGAGTGGCCTTACCGAAGCCCAGCGGTTGTCCCCCTATGCGAACCATTCTCCACAGCTCCCCAGAGGAGCTGGTGAAGAGAAGATCTGCAGGAAACCTACAGCACAAAGATCAAGCACTGATTTCTGCCAAGCAGCTGAGTGCAAACACACACAAGACTTCAGAGATGGACAGGGGAAGACCTCCTTCTAGCAACCATTAGATAAAAGCTGGCGAACACAGACACTGAAACCGCAACACCCGCGAAAGTGACCCAAAAAAAAGGGGCAACGATGCCGTTATTAGACAACTGAGCTGTGTCAGCTCTGTGCTGCTTTTGACTTAGGAGCTGAATTAAAATTGGTTAAATGGAAAGTGTCACAGAGCCACTGTAATTCCATTACAGATTTTAAACAATATCAGGACTGTGGTAAACTCTGCCTGAGGACTGTCAATTAAGTAAACACAAAAATAACCTTTTCCCTATGTTTATGGGCCCAAAGCACCTCTGGATAAAACTGCTGGATGCTGTTTATTTGTTTTGGCCATTCTAGCATTTTAATGGAGCGAAAATGAAGAGTCCTTACTTTCTCTGAGCCTCAGTGTCCATCACCAGTGAGATGTAGCCATCGATAAGGGAGAAGGAAAAGAACTTGATACAGTCCAGGTCTTGGCTGGGAGATGACTGCATGTCCTCTTTAGGACTAGAGAGGACAAGACATATTCAGCAAGACAGCACAGAAGCAAAGCAGGTCATTTATATTATAGTAACATATGAAGTGAATGACACATTAGAATAATTGTCAACACAGGGGAAAAGATGAGTCACAGAGAAAATGTGGTTTTACTTCAGGAGAATAAAAACATGATGACGCATTTTTAAACAACAGATAAACGGATTTATTTTGGATTTTTATTTTGCCTGGACAACGATTCTCTGTGTTATCTGTGTTTGACAAAAGGTCAGCACGTCTCATATCTAAGTTTTCAAAATGATGTGAGAACTGATTAAACTTGATGTGAAATAATAAGTTACCTGTGAGGAATCAGTCGTGATTAATGCACAACAACCTCTAGCCAGCAAGCTGGTGTCTACTGTGCATCATGTGCTGCCACCTTGTGTTTTTGAAAGGTACTGCAGCAATGTGAGCAAGCAAGATGCTCACCTGGTGGAATAGAAGAGAACATCCATGAGTGTGGTGGCAATGGACGGCAGTGTGTCCGGGTCCAAGGACATGACACAGAAGTGGTTCTTTGGGATCAGCACTGGGTGAACTGTAGGCTGGATGGCTGGAAAAACAAGGACAGTGCTAATTTATAAGAACAGCTGTGTGAAATACTTTCAGACATTTCTAAAAATATATATATTTAAAAAACTACAAAAAACAGCAAACAAACTGCAAATCTGGTGAGAGAAATGTTTCCAGGCTAGTCTGACACATACTGGAGAGGCAGAGGGTTAACACATGTTTCAGCATGTTCTGCTCACACTGTACAGCATGTTCGTTGTGCACGTCATGGTGAAAATCACTTCTTGTAAAGCACACAGTGAGGTCCAAATGTTCTTTTATGCTTGAAAATGAATGTGGACCCTGCCTGTTTGCACTGGTTAATTATATAATGTCATATACTGTGATGTTTGTTTTAATCAAACATGGCTTTGTTAAGCTCAACAGCTGTCCCTGAACAGCAGATTCCCTTTGCTCTAAAGCGTACATCGTGCAAAGGAACCAGTAAAAACATGATGGAAAAGTTGTGATATTAAAATTTACAGCGTGGTGATCGATTGACTCAAACAATGCGCACTCTGCTGCGCAGAATCCGCACTCGAGTGTTTGCATTTTGTCCAAGAACACTGATAACATGCATGGTTCACGGCGACACAGTTTAGTGTTGAATAAAGACCCTGTTTACAAATGAAGTGGCAGAATGAAGCTCAGATCATCCAGAATGACAAACTAGGGTGTAATCTCCAGGAGGGGCCGTGAAAACAAACATCTCATCACACCCCTAGTACACATCATCTGCTACTTGATCAGCTAACATTCACATTTGAGCTACATCAAGTTACAGAAATGCTATTCCAACCTCAGCAGGCACTGTGCCAGAGACGCTTCTGTAGAAAAATGACTGAAACATGGCACCATCATGTTAAACTGCCTCAATAGTCACAGTATACACTGAAATGTATGTGACAAGTTTCTCTAGTAACAGTTTTTTGGACTGAAATGCAAGAAAGGGAAAAGGAGGGGAAGTGAATAAAACAAAATTACCAATAATAATGATGATAACAGTACTACTAATAAAATCAGCTTGTTACATTTCTAGAGGTTGGAGGGAATGTGTGTGGCCTCAGCCCCAGGTATTTGATTCAAGTTGAAATGTGTTAAAAATGGGTTCCATGTGTCATAAAAAGCTGATAAGCTATTCTTGTGAGTGGATGCCATTTTCTCTAATGTGATGTATTCTGTCAGAAAGTTGGTCCACTGGTTTATTGTAGTGATTTTTTTGATTTCCAATTTTGAAAGATTGTTTTCTTGGCAATCTGTCTGTACTTTTCCATGATTTCAGTACAAGTGGTCTTCGAAGTAAGTAATATTTAAGCAACATAATACTTCTACCCAAATTAATCCTTCAATCTGTGACTATGTTTTCAGATCACTTCCTATGTGATGCGGAAGTCTTTACCCTACAGGTTCAGAGAACCTCTAGGTGGAGCTCCAGTTCTTCTAACTGCCTCCTCTGAGTCAAGCTCGATCAATACAAGCAGGGTAAGTGCACTGATACCAAACAGGACTGCAACCTCTACCTTCTTTGCCGTTCTTTTGAAGGCCATTGGAAACATCCTGGCCATGCACAGGGACACAATCTCCTTTCACCTCCTTGTAGATATTGAACTCTTCTTCCAGAGTGCTGATGACTACAGACAGGTCTTTCTCTTTTACCTACACAACACATATATTGGCAGAGAGACGTTTCAGAGCACTGTGAAATGTGTATAAATATCTTAATCAAAAAGCCATACAATCAATCAATACACGATAGATATTTTCAGGGCACAAGAGTGTCTCACTTTAAGGGAAGATATGAGCTCAACTAGCATATCAGCCATTAATATAGTTGCTGACACAAACATCTGTCTGTGTGTAATCTATTTTTGCCCACTTAACACTTTTACATGTAATATATCAACTAACTTTTTAGTGCCCTCAGCTCTGTTGAGAATTAATTCCTCAACTGCAAAACGCAGACAGCGTGGCTGCTTTTGTCTGGCAGAGCTCAGCAGGTCAGGGGCTTCTTTGTGAGACGAGAGTTTGGAAAAGAAATGCTCCAGATGGCTATAAACTGTAACAGTGAAAAGCTTTAGAGTGCCTATTTTATTTTAACAAGATGTTCGTGAAAGCTGATTAGGTTGGAGTGGAACAGAGTGGAGCAAAAGGTAAAAAGTCTAAAGTAGATGGGGCTCACCAGGATAAAGTCAGTCTGATAAGTGGAGAGCATGAAGACAGAGACATGCTGCTGGGCCAGTGGGGCGATGACCGACTTGGCGATCTTGGTCACACCGACAGCCTGTGAGCTGCTTGAGGCGTTGCCGTTGGAGACCACATTCAACGGCAGCCAGATGGAGCTCTCTACCTGGAGATGCTCTGAGGGCTGGAGCTCTGAGGGATCAAGAGGAAAAGTGGTCAGTATGCATGACTTTCTACTCATGCATTTAGGAATCACCAGTTTGCTTCAGCCATGGCAGCGTCTTCCAACAGTTAATACTAGCTCCAAGCCTCAGTGGACGATGAGTAGTAGGACCAAGTGTGTTCACATACCGACTAACAGCCGTTAGTCTACCTCTGACTTTGACCTTCGCTGACTGGTTTAGAAAGATGAGGCTTGCACAAAAACTTGCACAGGGTGTTCAATAAAACTGTTTCTGGAGTCTGAGAAATTAATTTGGTGCCAGGCTTAAGATGTCAGAGATTTGGCAGATCACATGAGTATGGGGTGTAATTTAATCGCCAAAGAACTTTTGATTAAATGTGCTACTGGGGTGCATTACTGGAAATACAACATGCACCCTTTCTGGAATTTGATCCATTGTAGGGACTAAAAAGTAATCTCTTTTAAATTTCACATTTTTATGAAACACTAAAATACCCCTTCAATTTACCAAATCAGTGGTTACTGGATGAATATTCCATCTACATCACTGATTATGCAAACTATACTCATGAAATTTCAAAACACACCACTAATTGCAATACAGGTGGTGCATTTTTAAATTCCATGAGTATACTTGTGTAAAAATAATGGGTCTGCCACATTATTGCCACACCAGTAGGAAAATGAACAGGCATTTCCATGAGGAGGAGCTAATTATGCAAATGAAAAACTGTGTGACTGATAGTATGTTGACTACATCTGAAACTGGTAAACACAGCAGTGTCTGTGGCAAAATGCTTTAGGGTCTTCTGACATCATGATCAAACTCCGCCCAGTCCTGCTCCACAAAAATATTGGGGGGGGACAAACAAACAAAAAAAAACTTTTTTCCATACAATAGCTTTAAATAAAACTACTGCAAAATTATTCATTCAGATGGCAAGTGAAACAGCATGACAGCATACATATGGTAAATGCAGCCAAACCACCCCAGGAAACAGGAATGGCAGTCACAAGCTAAGAGCACATGGAGGTGACAGGCACACTGTGTACACTCTACAGGGGTGTATCACAACATTATACTACTGGTGATTTATCTCTCCGTTTGTGAAGGTGTAAACTATGAGGCAGCTTTGAGTAACTACTTCCTGTTTGCTGCTGAGTATAATGTGCTTACACACACACACACCCACACTTCTTCTCCGTTACCTTTTGTTTCTTCCTTCGCCACAGAGATGTAAAAGCCCCCTGCTATTTATACCGCCCAACTACATGTGTAAATAAAATTATGCTCAGGAGAGTATCTGTGTCACCACTAGAGGCTTGGCCATAGCTGGGACCCAAGTTCCTCCGATGTGACTGCAACATCCTGAGTCTCTGGGCCAAAATGGAGGAACGGGATATTTCACTCTTCTTCACAAAGTATGAACGGAGTGGAAACTGGCAGCTACCTGGGAATCAGGCGTCTATCCAGGGAGTAAACACCAAGTTGGAACAGAGAGATACTGGGGCGATGACTTAGAGAGATGTGCACCATAACCTTTTATTACTTAAATAACAAACTTAAAAGCTTGATACATTGTTACCAAGGTCCTGATTCACTACTTTTGAAATGGAGCACAATTCTGAATACCCAGTGGGGAAAGAATCCTCCCTGCATGTTTAAGATGCATTTTCATAGAAAGTTTCACAAATCCTCAGAGGAGACCAAATGTTTTGGTTATGTTTCGTTACTATTCAGAAAACTACAAACATTACCAAATGATGTCTGTCTCCTGCAGTGAATAAACTGTTTTCTTTACTCCATTTCAAAGGGACACTTTTCCCAAACCTAAAAAACGTTTGGGACAGTATCGTCGACAGTAACAACGCTCACCGATATTGGGCTATAATGACTCAGTCGTTAGGCGACATTGTTGGGCATCAAAGGACTGAACTAAACATCTGCAACAACGCCAAACTGATGAAGCCTCTTGGATGAGAGGTGAAACGTCTTCGACCTAAAAATCATTTTTCTGGTTGGTATTGTTTGCCACAGACGGCCCCTTGTGGCTGAAACCTCTTAAAATAGCCACTCACTTAGAAGGAAGATGGAGAGGAACAGAGCACCCTGTGGCAATATACACTCACAGGCCACTTTATTAGGTACATCTGTACCTAATTCAACTGTATGCAGTTCAGTGCAACACTTCCACCTTAACATCTGTTTATGAAGCTCAAAACGTTTCAGTTTTTGGTGAAATTGTCATAAATGTATAAATTCAGTTATATGTTTATTACAGAGGTCATAGTTAAAGGTGGTGTTCTACTGGACTACATTATATTCAGAGGTGTGTCTACCTTTTTGTCCTCCCCAGCTACGTACACGAGAGGGTCAGCTTATTAGGAACGCCTGTAGTCCAGTACATCACCAACTTTAGCTATGATCTCAATAATAAACAAATAATTGAATGTATACATTTATACAACTTAACCAATATAAATCACCCATCAAGCCCACCTCTGCCACACACAAACAAGTTGTGCTGTGTTAATGTGCACAGTAACTACTGCTTTTGCACTTTTTGCTTGTGTCTGTCAAAATGCACTCAAGTCAGTACAGATTATTTAATCAGGATTTTAACCATACGTGTAGCTTGAATTAAAAGAAAAAGGGGAAAACTGCTTCTCTGTAAAGCTGCACTTGAGCTCTGCAAGTCTGAGGCACCTCATAGCAGCAGCAGCTCACCTGCACACCTACAACACCGCCACCAGCCTTCCCTGTCTGTGAAGATTTATACCAAAGGGATGAAGGAGGCAACAATCTACCAAGTTCACAAGCTGTTTTTGGGGGGGTATTTTTCCTGCATTATATGGTTTCATACACCCATTCTACCACATGAAGTCTGTGAGGGGAACAAGGAAGGAAGGAAGTAACTTTGGTGTGGTATAACCGACCTATGTTGTAGTGCAATTCAGGACTGCATACTAGCTCAAACCGTATTCTGAGCAGGCAACATGTTTATAAAAAAAAGTAACAATTAGCGGTGGTGTTGGATTCTGGAGGAGCTACTCACAGCTTAGAAATATCAGAACACACTATAGATCATGATAAGACCGCTCCATGAAGATCGCAGAAAATGAAAAACAAAGTCCTGAGCCCGTGGAAAAATATTTTGCATTCTTGTTTTTAAAAGAGTATCGCACTTCAGTACAGTTTGGGAACTCACCAAAGATAGATAGAAAAGGAAAGCATTTATGCAGTACAGCAAAATGTCATGACTTTTAGTCCCTGTAAGTCTATAAAACTGCTGTCTAGCAAATGTACATGTCTTTCGAGCTCCACACCCCTGTTTGTAACACAGGCTTTCTATTCAAAAGGAAGCATCCACACCCACAGATAACCCTGGTGACATCACTAGGGCTTGACCTTTACACTTAATAATGCTCATTCAGAGCCAGAAAACAAATTATACAACTCCTTTCACAGGCTGGCATCCATCAGTGCATGTCTTGCATCATTTTCTGTTCTGTACAAACTGGGAACATTATACTAAATGGATTTTATGGTGTCAGTATACACTTTAGTGCACAATTGAGAGAGGGTGTGGTAGGACAAAAGATTTGTGTACACAAGGGTGTTTTACCTTTAAATCCTTCCTCATCAAGGACAACTGTGTAGTTCTCTGGTGTCTCCGTGAGACTGAAAAACTTGCATCTGAAACAGAGGAAGTACAGATGTTGGAAACTGAGATAAAATGAAGGCAGAAGATGGGGAGGAGAGAGAAAAGACAGTGTGGAAAAACAGGGTTATTCACTGTCAACAACAAAGAGAGGTTTATATTTTCATAACAACAACCATCAGGAATTAAGTAAACAGGATTCTCCAAAATGTGCACAGGGTTCAGAAGGAACTGTCACTGAATTAGCACAGGCCCGGGCTCAGCACTATGCCAGCGTCATCTCTTTGTCTTCAGCAAACGGTGGGTAACACCAAACTGGGGCACTGCTGCACTCGAGAACAGACTGGGCAACATTGTATATACAGTATGTATCTGCTATGAAAATCAAGTCTTAACTTGTTCACATATCTCTGCACCAGTTTCAGTGCAGTGTCCTTTAAGGTCTGCATGTTGCAGGCTTTTAGTCACTTGCAACCTTCTTCTACCTTGTTCTCCAAAACAAAGATGCCTTCATTAAATATTTACAAACACTTCAGCTTTGTCAACTGACTCAATCCGCTGAGGTAAAAAAAATTACAAAGAGATGACAAAACATATAAAGTAGTACTTGTTTGGGATTTTATTTTGAATCTGCATTGATTATAACTTACTACACTTTGTCACCAGTTTGTAATCTGCATCTTCATTAGGATCAGAGCCAAAAGCCTTTGCTTTAAAAGGCTGTAGCTTGGCCTGCCCCCAGTACTCGGTTCTATTGAATGTTGCCATTGTGAAATGTTCAAAAAGGGTAGCAGGGGAATGAGGGAACGGGTTTTTAAAAGGCAAATAGGCCCATGGGATCTGGTATGAGTACAGAAAAGGAAGTACATTTTCTTGGATTACAACAGTTTTGGGGGCCCAATATACTTCAAATCAAGTTTCTGGATGAAAGAAATTCTTCCTGTTCTACATCCAAAAATGTCTTTGCTAAATGCAACAGCAAAAAACACAGAGATTGGACAGACACTTGATGTGTTAGGTGAGATGATTACTGTGTAAACCAGGAAGCTGGACTGACCCCACAGCCTCTTGTTCACTCGAACATTAACAATGACTTTGTATACATTCTGCACCGTCTAGTCTAGCCCTACGCCTTTTATTCTGGGGTTTCAAAACACTCTCTACTCAAGCTCAAACTCCCAAGAGTGGATTGAAAGCTCAAAGTAAAAGGCTTAGGGCTGGGCTACTTTGTGATTTAGGCAGATAAAGTTAGTGTTACATAAATATCAAGTCCACTAATGCAAGAAGACAGTAAATAAAAAAATACCACAGTAAAACACAAAATACCATCAAGCAACCAAAAATATCCTTGCTTTTAAAAAGTCTTGTTATTGAGTGAGTGGTTTTTTTTTATTTTATTTTTTGCTATAGAGAAGATATGGAGCAATTTCTACATGGATGGCATCATGGATTGTTTTCTATGAATCCCTAAAGGAAGCGCTACATATTCCTGTTGTTTTTAAAACCTCTCTTAGGAGATGAACCTTCCTCTTCCTCTTCCTCTGCTTATCAGTCAGCTGAGGACAGAAAAACCCCTGACTTAGCAAAAACTATTCCCTGCCATGAGAGGGGGCAGTCACGCCACAGAGACACAACCCCCCGATCCCAATGTCCTCCCTAAGGTCTCAAGCCCTGAACCCTCAAAGACTTCAGTGACATCACCTGGGACAGCACTTTGAGACTTGGGCTATCACATCATCATGACAACGCCAAAACGACGCCACTGTTCTAACATCATTAGAATAAAATCAGTTAACATAAGAATCACTGTTCGTATTCTTTATATTTCTTCTGATCTGTTTTATGGCATTTGAAAGGTCAAAGTGTTTATTTGTCATATGCACAGCTGGGAAACGTGTTTCCCTGTACAATGAAATTCTTACTGTGCCATCCTTTGTTTACCTTTTTTACACTTCCACCCTCCCCGGGTAGGCTAGCCTTGTGTTTCACATTACAATGCAATGAACTGTGGGGAATTCCCTCGGGTAAAGTCGGCAGAAATGCTGACTTACTGAAAATGAGCATAAAGCGCTCAAAATGAAGGTGAGAAAGCCCTCATGCACTTGATGAGTTAATGGTGGCACAGCCCTGAGCCCTCACTAACTCAGCGGGATAGTGCTTCAAGGTTGGTAAGTCTGAGAGTAGACACTGGGTTTGGGGGAAACAGAGAGAACACTGTAGCACAGGCTCAGCCAGCCCATTGTGTTATAATACCCCCGTCATTTTCTGCTGACCCTTCACCTTCCACAGCTCACAGTTTCTTGCAGGTAAGCCAAGCATCTATCCTGCCAATGAGACTGATGAAGTGTGGAGCTTGGAGTGTTTCTTTTTTTGGAGAATAGAGTGAATATGTTGTTTTTAAAGTGCTATATAAATAAAATGGATTTGATTTGATTTAAATACTTTGACATTATACCTGCAAGGCAGCCAGACCTCGATAATACTGTGACAGTGTGCTGTCAAGCAACCTCAAGGATATCCATCTATGAAACATCTTTGTTTGGTTTCCTGTTTGCGAAGTACAGATAAGACGCTTCACCCAAGCTTCATTACACAACACTGACAAGCACACTGGAAAACTCATTTATCTGACACCATCTTTACAATTGGTTTTCAACCCTTTTCATCGATCTCACAGTCAAAGGAAAACTGCATGTACATTGCAGTACACCCTGGACTTCTTAGGGAATCATTAGGAAGCTACAACTTGAAACCTCTTGTTCAAGAAATATTCCTATTTCATTCAAAAAATGATCTGCTCTGCAAACATAAGATTTTGTTACATATCACTTAGGAAAATAGATGCATATAAAAGCTATACGTCCAGGAGCAGCGTGTGACAAGATCTCGTGCCACGAAATGTCATGATTTTAAAACATGACAACATTTCTCACTGAGGCAAAAGCTGTCTTGCGATAGCATAACAGAACCAGAGTGGAGTCTGACAGCAAAGTGACATATGTTTTTACATTAGTCCAGCATAAATGCAACTCCATGCTGTGTTTTAACACACAGGGCAGCGTTGGGCAGGGGGTGAGGGGTTGCAAGGGGAGTGTTGTGTGTGCGTGTATGATATGGGCCACATTGTGACATTGTTTTGCATTTTGTGACTTTCAGTCAACTAAAAGACCACTTTTCCAGTTATACATTTCAACATTAAAGTTTTTTTTTTAAATCTCACCACAGTGTCTAGAGCCCCTCCTAAGTTCATTATCAAGTCATTTATCAGAGTCACTGAGGATTTCTGAGTTTCAGCTTCTTTAATGTAAGAAATTTCTACTTTACTCAGTTGTCTATCTTATCCTATTCTTCTTTTTGGTCTTGGAGTCGACCTGAAGATGTCTTTTGGCTGTGGAAACTTGCCAAATGCATTTGTCACCTGTTCATGCAGTTCATAAACTCTATGATTAATCAACTCATCTGACATGTTTGTACAGTGCTCTGTAACATTGACAGCCTGTGTGTGAGCACTAATAACTGAAAAACAAGCTTATTCTATTGAAACATGAAGAAACATGAAGAGATGGAGAGGGAACAACTAAAACAGACAACAAAGCAACAGGTAGTGATGAAGCAGCCAATGCAGTTAAAATAAAAACCAAGCAAACAAAGTCTGGACTTTGATCAAGCTGCACAGAACAGTGGGCGGTAGCGGCCGTGGTGGTAGGGTGTCTGCAACTGATGCTCCAGCTGAGGAAACACGATAAGAGTGGAGCAAACCGGTCATTTTCAAGTGTACAGAGTGAGCCTTGAGCGATCCCAGCCTGAGCGTCAGTGCAAAGTGTGCTGCCTTTGCAACATCCCACAAGCTGATCCATAACATTCTCAGAGGCTCCTCTTTTCTCAGAACAATAGAAGGCTTTTTTCTTGAAATCCCTGCTTGTTATGAGGCAGCTGGGGGAGGAGAGTTAAAGTCCCAAACTTAACAGAGCACTGAAGCAGACAAATGGAAAATTCCCCAGTGAGTATCTGGCTCAGCTGAGGTATTGCTTCAAACTATGCTCTCGTTACCGACAACAACAGAGGGGGACTGTATGAAATCCAGTACACCAGGAGTGATATTTTGAGACACTGGGCATTGATTATTATCACGCCCATAGACTCCAAACAACAGCTAAGGTCAAGGTCCATATTTGTTGCCTGTTGTAGGAGGATTAATTCACATCTTCTAGTGTTTGATAGAATCTAATAACATGGCCAGTGCACAAATATATACACTTTTTGCAGCAGTGGAATAAGACACACACACACAAACAGCCACACATTGAACCTCTAGCCTATAATGCATACCACTACACAAATATCAAGTCTTATTTGTGAAATCAACTTAAACATCCTCACTTGTGAGGTCATTTGACCTTTCTCATCCTTAGGCTAATGACGATATGAAATCTGTAAACAGAGCTGACCTTCACAGATACAGTAACTGACAGTTGGCATGTTGTGCCTCGTCAAATAAGGGTTCTTATTTCTAGACAGGGCAAAGATGTCTCCGATTTCCTCTGCACCACAGATGTCTCAGAGCTTCAGCTGCAGTGGATGATGTCTCAGTTTGGGATAAGCCTGGTTTCTACAAGTGATTGAAATTCTGTTCAGGACTGTTTTCAAATCACTTTGCGCTGGTAGTTGTTCTCTATTGAATAGCAGAGGCCTGAAAGAGGGAGATGACTCAAATGAATCAAAGAAATCAGGCATGTTCTTACTCCACAACTGTTGTGAACTGCCATGAAGTCAGTCCACCACTCCCCATTCTGGATCGCCTGCAGTTTGATTACATACACACACACACACGACTCCTGCTACAGAAAAAGAACAGGTAAAACAAGGCAAAAGCATCCACACCACTGTCATAGCTTTAAAGCATACAAAACAACACACTGCAAAAGAAACAAGCCTGCTAATAAAAGGAAGTGTGACAACACATGCTTTTCTGGGATCAGCCTACTTTGTTTTGTTAAGACAGTGAGCGCTTCACACAATCTAGTCAAATGAAAATGTAGGCTCGCTGTTTGCAATTTCCTGGTTTGCATAAATTGAGCATGAAATGACATCTGATCTTCACCAAAGTCTGGAGAGGGCTACAGAGTCATCTCAAAGACTTTAGTTATTCATTAGTCCACAGTTAGACATGTTGTCTATAAATGGGAATGACTTGGTGTGGTGGCTACTGTCCATAAAAGTGGGCACCCAACCGAGATCATTCCAAAGACACAACGCAGAACGCTCAATGAGGTAAAAAAAAAAAAAAAAGAACCCTAGAGTAACAGCTAAAGACTTGAAGGATTCATTGGAGTTGATTAACATCTCTCTTCATGAGTCAACCACATGCAAAACATTGAACAGGTGTGTTATCCATGGCAGGACAACATAGAGGAAGCTGCTGCTCTCCAAAAACAACATTGCAGCACAGCTGAAGTTTGCCAAAAACCACACTGACACTCCGCAACACTATTGGGAGAATGTCTTGAGGACAGATGAACAAAGGTAGAATTGTCTGGGAAGAACACACAGCACTACATATGGCATAAACAGAACCGTGTACCACCATGAAAACATCATCCCAACAGTGAAGTACAGTGGAGGGAGCATTATGATGTGGGGCTGCTTTGCTGCCTCTGGACCTGGACCGCTTGCCATTGTGGAGGGGAAAATGAATTATCAAGGTATCCTAAAGGATAATGTCAGGGTGGCTGTCTGCAAGCTGAAGCTCAGAACAAGCTGAGTGATGCGCCTGGACAATGACCCTAAACACTTCATGCCCAATTTATGCAGAAAACCAGGAAATTGAAAACAGTGCAATTGTATAAAATAAAATACTTACTGTGAATTTGGATGCAGTTCTTGATCATTATGAACCTACTGGCCACAGTTATTTACTTCTAATAGAAGTTTAGAAGGTGGTGGATGTGTCAGACCAGATGAGTCTGGTACAGATATGTTAGATGTTAAGCGTTTAACAGACATACGAGATTTAGATTTCATTACTCTGTCACTTGACAAGATATAAAGAAAAACACTTTCCAGACTTGTGCAGTCATGTTTTTTACAAAACTGCCTATTAAAGGGCTGTTCTGTATCTGAAACAGTGGATGTTTAGGAAAGGACAGTGCAATATCTCGACTGGCACAAAGGCGATGAAGTTGAAAAACTTCCCTGACATTTGTACACACCTTCTAAGCTTGACATTTGAACTGTTGCTGAGCCACTGTCTGACCTATGCCTGGAAACAGATGTTGAGCTCTGCTTCTAACCACACTTGTGGAACAGCCAGTGCAATGAACAATTATTGAGGGGATATCGAGGGATTAACTAAAAACTGGTGCTAGTGCCAACGTGAGATTATGACAACTAGCAAACTGGATGTTGGTTTTGGGTAAAGGAGGTCAAAGGTCAAGTACAGTAAGTGCTGGAGAAACAGGATACCACCAGGATACAGTGGAAGGGACGTTTGGCCTATACTGGTCCTGTGTTCAGTGAAAGCAGCATGCAAAAAAGGCATTCATCCATACATTTTACGGGATTACAAAATAAATGCATATTGACATATGCCCATGCACAGTCTTATTTAAACTGCCATTTTTGTGCAAATACAGCCTAGATTATGTGGAACCATAATGGATGCAGTCATAGGAATAGTACAGTCAGCTTGATGTACGGGTTTCCAAACACTGTAACCTACTGTAATTGCTTACAGCTATACGCATAGCAGTAGCCTATATCATTCGTGGAGGCAGAACAGCAGGGCATGCACAGGCAAACAGCCCAACAATGCCTCGGCCACACAGTTATCTCATATATCCGGACTGGAGAGACATAAAGTCAAAAGACACTTACCGTGTCCTGTTCCGGAGAAATATGAGTTTAATCAGTGAGTGTGTGAAATTCGCCAGTCCATTCTTGGATATACTGGTGACCCGTAGCCTGTGGTCCAATATGTGCAAGTCCATATTCTCGTTAGCAAGCAGTGCAATCCCCTCTGTGTGAGCGCGTGGTGCAATAACACCTTACTAGCTAAATGATATCATTCAAACGTTAAATACAGACCAGGATGGTAAGCATTACCGACAATCACGGTGTCCTGGTATACTCGCTTCCCAAGCCGAAAAACACACTACGCAACCCAACGCCAGCCCCGCTGAACTAGCGTATATTCAAATAAAAGGGCCATCCTCTGACATGATACGCCTCCTCCCCTTAAAGCAACAAGTGTTGATGGTTAATGCATTTAGTGGTGAGCCCTAAAACCCGGAACTGAGTTAGCATTTTTGTACTTCCGGTTCCCTCGGTCCTGAGTCTATGAATTTTTGGTTATACGCTTGAAATACAGTATGTGGTTAACACAAGGCCAATAAATTTTTACGCCTTGTTCTATGAAATACGTCAGTAAATACCCCGCTCATGATTTTTAATGCTTTTACAAGTCTTTGCTAACAAGTGGCTAAATAAGACTACAGAGGCAGTCTGGGATTTTACACGTCATCACGGAGATATCTACTCACGATTCGGCCTTTATAACCTCCTTATTTTTAAATTGACGCACTTGCAACCTATTCAAAATAACTGACACAACCATGGTCACTAGCTAGATCGGGTCACGCTAAGAGGAAAAGATTTTGTAGAAGAACAATGCGCTATATAGCAAATTACAATTAGCTATATAGCGCGTTCTTCGTGGTAGTGACGCTAAAGTCATGGGACCGTTGTGTAGTTCGTTTATAGCCTAACAATAGCCTTTTACTTCTGGCGATTGTATCCAGGATTCGAAAAATCATAAAAGTGGCGTTCACTTGTGAGGATTATCTTGCTGAACAACATGTGTAAGTGTCATAAACCGTTGTTTGTCACAGATCTTATTTTACCGTAATAAAACAAAATCTTATGAACCCCCCCCAAAAGAAAACCCCGTCATTCCTATATTACTCTAATGCCAAACCACCGAAGCAGAAATGATTTAAATAGCCAAAAAGAATGACACCACTATCCACCTGCATTTGTCTTTTTGTAAATTATAAAGAATTCAAAATGAGAAAGGCAAAGATTACAGGAAAGTCTGATAATAAAAGTCATTTTATGTAGCAGAATTTTTGTTTTATTTTCAACACATAGTAAGGCTGACACTATTTTAGGTGTATCTAATTGTGTGTTGACGCACTTGCACCGTGTTTCCTTATTTTCAACATTACAACGTCCCTAAGTACAAAGCAAGATTCATAAAGAAATGATTTGATGAATTTAGTGTAGATGGACTTGATCCCTGATCTCAAGCCCATCCTACACCTTTTGGATGAATTGAAAGGCTGACTGAGTCCACTAGGTCTCATCAGCCAACATCAGTAACCAACAACACTGACGCTCTTGTGACTGAGTGGGAGCAAACCCTTGCAGCCAGATTTCAAAGGTTTCAAAGTTTTCACAAAAGAGTCGGGCAGATTATTAGCAATATTTTGTCATGAAATGTCCACATATTCTTGACCATGTAATCTAGTCGCACAGAACAAACAATACCAATACCTTAGAATAATTGTTAATGCATGTCAATCTTTTCTTTGGTAGACTCAAACTTGCTGTAAACATCCCCAAACACCATTTTTAAATGTTTGATTCTGTCTACTTTTTAAAAGTATCATCAAAATGGCCACTGTCAGTAAGCAGTTAAATAATGTAAGGGTTTTGTTGTTTTTATAAAAACATCTTTAGTTCATGCTAGATTTCAAAAGGTTTTAATATTTGAATTACTACCACAAGACAGGGTTATCTTAAAGACTTTACACCTATAAAAAAAAAAGTTTAATTTAGCTTTGTTCAGATCCAGTTTCCCTATTCAAACACGTATAACATTATATCAACATTTATTTTGAAAAGACATCACTTCATGCCAGATGTTAAACATTCACATAGCCTGCAGTACATTTTAGTCACATAAAGATATTTGAATGATTGAGGTAGTTCTATTTCTGGAAACATGCATTTCACAGTCACAGGGGTGAAGCTCACTGTGATCTCTGTCCGTCAGGCTCCAGCATGGATTATCTTGTTCACCTGTGCCATAGACGTCCGTTGGTCAAAAATGATAAAAAAAAAAAAAAAAAAAACATCAAACAAATGCAGTCTATTACAATAATTGATAATTAAAACTGAAAGGCAGAAACAGGAACACAATCATAATATTAATTTCACTATACTTGGCAATACTATATACAAAATACTGTAATTTTGTATTGTATTAGCGCCATTTATTGTTTCTTCTTCCACGTATTTGACATAAACTTTTGAAAACATATATATTTCAGGATTTTCAAAATAAATGCACTTCCATATCTGGTAGTAACACAAACCATCCAATAGATATAAAAAAAATTACAATCAATAGACCAAGATTCATACCACATTGCTCAGCAGGAGGTGAATGAGTTTTGGTCAACCACTTGTTAGCAGTTTCAGTCATCTTCTCATTGTAGTGGTGAACTTTTGGTGGGAATCATTATTCTAGACTCCATGCTTCTGATCAAAGGCACTGAGAATAGACAGAGAGAAATGTGTTAATGAGTAAGCATTAACTGTTTTTGTTAAAATAGCACAGATGCTGTAAATTTCCATAAAAACAAAGTAAAACAGTGAAGTTCATGTTACAACTTTCAGCCAGAAGAGCAACAGATTTGTGACATATACAACTGTAGCTCTTGCAGCACCACAGAAAACACTGTACATTGTTTAGTTGCATATACAAGTAATTTAATAAGGAATATAGGAGCTTTGACTAAGTATTTGTGTGGGTAGAGTGTTTTTACCTGTATAATACACATTGACATCCCAACCCTCCTTCTGCCAGGCAGAGTTTCTCGTCTCCTTCCGGGACTGCAGGTTTTCATAAGCTGTATGACACCAAGCCATATACTTTATATCACATTATGTACAGATGGCTTTATGTCAGTCTAATAGATGCTCTGCATTACTGTGGATTCAAAATTAATGTAATAGGTTTGGTTAATTCCATTTGAGATTTCAACCCTTTCTCATATGCCACAAGCTTTAGATGAGGCACAAAATTTAGTTTAAAGTTCACTGCACCTCCTCTCCTATCCTTGAAACATGTATGTTTTGTTACTGTTATATTAAATATATCTTCAATATTTAGGGCTTTATATCATTATTTCACAAGACAATGGTTATTCATATGCATATTTGGTGTTGGGCATCCATCCTTCAGTGGTAGAGACGTTGGATACCATGTGGTACATTTCAAATAATAAAACAACAATTAAGTATATTGCTCTCAAGGCTTGATCAGGACATTACTAACATTCACCTTAAACATTTACTTAGTTGTGTGTTGCTGTACAAAAATGAATGGCCTATGAACCTGTTTTATTCCATGTGGCGTTTCATTTTTTCAGGTTGTTGTACTTTCAACATGGAAATCTATGATCGCTGACCTCAGTGGACAACAAACTAAAATATTTTAACCTACCTTTTTATTGATAAATTTCTTAAAATTTGCTTATACCCCGTCCTCAAAACCCAAAACAAGATATTTGAGGAGACATCGCACAGTACATATATACTCACCCCACAAGTGGTGAACTACATACAGGTCACCGATCTGTGAAAAGAAGCCGCCTACTGCCTCGTTGTTTTCTTGTCTGTATTTGATTGCCCGTGCCCTAGTGTAAGGCGTTATTTAGCTTAGATTGGAAAAAGGCAATGTGACTGATATCATGTACAATTTAAGCAAATTAACCTTGTCAAGCCTTACCAGTTATTGCCCCATTCAATCATGGTTCCTGGCTGAAACACACATGAGGTCAAACATTAATATGGTTCACAACTACAATACAACATTACATAGCTCCACTATTCCTTCACAAAGGCCAGTTCTTTTACATGAGCAAACACAGCCTAATCTTTGAAAGTGCTACAGTATTATCCAGCTGGCTTATTTTAAAAATATCAATTAACTCTGTGTGCCACAGCACAATCAGTCAACTCTGAATAAGTAAGTATACTAATCACACCACCTAGTCTTAATGTGCATTGTTCACTAAAAATGTGGCAGTCATATTGCATTTTGGGGCACCCCAACAGCTAAACGGTTATGGTGCAGCAGCACACCATGTACACATGTACAATGTCTGTGCAACATTGGCAGTTTGGCTCCTTTCCTGTCTGCTTCTCTGCAACCCACTGAGTAATAAAGGAAAATGTGCCCAAAAATAACTTTAAAAAAGGTAAAAATCTATAGATAAAATTAAATATACGTATATACACATTTCATTCTGTCTGTAGCTAGTGTTAGAGCTGAAATATGCCTTGCTGATAAAGAAGGATAACAGAAGATTTACATTACATTTTAAGGATAGGTGAAATTGTAGCCAGTAATATAAAAGGCTCCAGGAATCCAGCCTACTTTAAAGGCAAAAGTTTGTCAGTTAATAATACTGGCTACTGAATGTACCAAATACGGTTCCTATATTCAGTTGATGTGACAGCTGCCAATTTGACAGACAGACTGAAATGAAATGAAAGCCTGTTGCACAGCTAACTGAAAGAACCAGTGCACACTGACTGTGTAAACTCTCTTAGAGCTGAAGTAAAATCTATGGGGTAATATTAAATCCCATGAAAGTTATATTTTATTAGTGGATACCTTCAGGTAATAGGAGCGCATCTCATAGATGTTTGGTCCTGATCGAGGCAGGGGTTCATTCCAAAAACTGAACTCTAGAAGAAGTTGATTTCGCCTTGAAAGCAACATTTTCGCCCTGTCTTTCCGAAACTCTAAATATTCCTATAAAAAAAAGGAATATACATGATATTATTATTATACAGTGCTTTTCTGCTCCTTGGTTGTGAACCAAAACTCTGCAAAGTTGAGATAAAACTCAAATCAGTGTAGGTTGCACCTAGATTAGTTTATTCTTTGGCATTTCTATATTAAATTTCCTATTGTGTGTAACAAACCTTGTTACTATTCAGCTTCTTCAGGCATTCAGTCAAGGCTGGGTAGCCTCCTCTGTATCGCCATAGGTGCACTACAAAATCAAAACAGCAGATGTCACTGTAGCACTGTGTGAGGACTGGTGCCACCCACACAACTAAAAGATAAAGTATATTCATCAAATTTTAATCACTTTTTGCTGTCACTGACTGCTCTTGATGTATATTATACACTGTAAATCATCATATGTAGAATGAGTGGTGTTGCTGGTGAGTCATCTGGCAGTTACTGTACATTTTTCTGTGATGTTCAGGCACACTGTAGCCACTCAAACTAAGTGTTTATGAGGCCTTGAGACAGAAAAGTGCACCCAGCCTTTGACACAAACAGTGACTGTGGTCAATAAAAGGCAAAACTTTTCATCATGTTTTCTATTTAGTGTATCATCACTTATGCTTACCGGCTTGGTCCTGTTCTCCATACCAGGTATTCCAGCTTCCAACCACCTCACATGGGTAGTCCTGGTCCTGATGGAGCCTATTTTGCACCTCACCCCTGAAGTCAGCATGACATAAATAGATTTAAAAAAATAATAATAATAAAGAGAGATAAATACACACTCTTCATATACACACACACACACACACACACATTCTGTGAATGTGTATAAAATTGTATTTGATTTGACTGTCACAATATTTTTCTGAAATCTGTCTCAAGTTTCAAGACACATTAAAGACAAAAACATTTAATCAAACACAACAGCATACTTAATACATAATATTTATCACATCAGACATTATGGAAACAACTTGACTGTATTACAGCTATAACTGCTCACACTCATCTTCAGTATTTAATCTAAAACGAAGAGCCCAAACTCTCATTTAACAGTTTGACAGACTGAGAAGCTGAGATAGGCTGTCACTTCACCGTGATGCCCACAGAGAGGGCACTCAGCATAAAGTTTACATTATCCAACTTGCTATTATACCCAAAGACATTATTCTTATTACCTCAGTTTTACGCTAAATTAACCTTCCACTCCATTACAACAAAATAATGACACCTTAACAGGGAAACCTGCATCATAAACAAAATCAATTAGCTTGTCATTGACTCAAAAATATCAAACTTTTTTTTCCACCTGATTAAATGGAAATATTTTCTATAAATATACATTGTTTACAATGTATGAAATCAAATAAAAGGACAAAAAAAAACATAACTTGATTGGTAAAATAAATGCAAGGAAATTTTAAAAGCAGTGAACACACTCACTCCAGACTGTTGTATGCTTCCAGACACTCTGGTTTGACGTTGTGAACTGAAAAAGAGCCAGACTTTTCAGAAATGGGTGTTTTTTTTTTTACCCCCCAAATACAAGCCAACAATCAAATTCTTCAACAAAGTAATTTCACACTCCAATTCAGCAAAGACTTCTATATACAAAACGGATTCACTTTCAATAGGTTATAGGCTACGGCTGATAGAGTGTTCAGATTGAAATCCCTACATTGTGTGATGTACACCACAAAAAAAAAAGATCAAAGCCCAAAGAGAGTGAGAGATTTTTCTTCAGGAGACAGACACTGCAGACTCAGAAGAAAACCAGACAAATTGCTCTGATTTCACTGACAAAACTTTACATACTTGATAAATCGTACTATTAAAGAATAACTTGTTGCTGCCTGTATGCAGTGTTGTGCTCATCTCTCATGTTAATTTCAATTTTCGCTGAAGTCACTGAGGCCAGTGTGGATTGTATTTAACAAACATGATTTATTTAGCTGATTTCTGCAGACAAATGATGATACACTGTTGACACTCAAAACTGAATCAGTTCATTAGAGTACGATGTAAGTGTATCACAGTCACTTATGTTTGGTACTCTGCAACCCTGTGCTTAAAGAAGATAAACTTTCACATGTGAGCAAGTAAAAGGTGGGATGCCTACACTGAATTTTGTACAGGTTGCTGGTCTCTTTCTTTGACAGCAGGTTGGAGTGGGCATCTTTCCTGGCATCGACTTTGTGCACAAATACGGAACGGAACCAGCCTTTGTTGCTGCTCTCTGAAAAACTCCTACACAGAAACAACATGAAAGAAAGTTTCACAAAGGCTCAAAGCAATGACATAAACCAGAGTTGTTGTCAATATAAAAAAGAAAAACTTAAAAAAAAAGATGAAGATGTGATGACATATGGGCTAAAAGATAGTTAGGCTAACACGTTGATATGAAACACATGCACACTGTGTTACTGAGTGGGCTGAATACCGTAGCTTGTGTCTTCACCATAAAACTTCCTTTCACACACTCTGGAGTGATCAAAAGAGGAATATCATTCACTTTTTACAACTATTGTTACAGTCTAAGAGACAATCAGCATTTGAACATGAATAACTGTCTGTCAGTCAGACAGCAGAGAAATATGACTTGAATCCATCTTGTGTTCAGCCTGCACTTTCAGAATCTCCTCCAGGGAAACTGAATTGTTGAAGACAATAACAGTGGCGCTGAAGTGAACTGGGACCATTCTGACCAGTAATACTGCTACATCAATGTCAAACAGAGTTATTAATGGCTCAAGATGCATAGCAATATTACTGGCATTTAAATAAGTGATGATGAAACTTGAAAAATGTTGAAAGTACTGTCTTATATAAAGAGTAAATGCTTAAAATTCATAGGAGAAATGGACTAATAATATTTATAAATGAAATTAAAAGAAAAATGGTCAACTGCTTCAACAGCTACACAAACTGCATCCATTCATATGTAGTGATAAATGCACACTTGATGCCACACTCAGCTGGGCATCAAATCCAAGGACGTTTTAATGGCGTTCATAGCCTTTTTGCAGATTCAGAACTTTGAAACCCTTTAAAGCTGCTTTCATGTCAACATTAACCTCAATTTCCAGATTGTTTGCAGGATTTATTGTGCTGAACCAAAACCAGCCTAAGAAGAACAGCTGCTATATACCCACTTATGGATTAGGGAGCTATTATCTGCATGTTTACTTTTACATGGCACCTTCAAGGCCATCTGTTAATTCACAAACACTTTCTAATTTTATTATAACTTTCAAGGTCAGTGGGACGTCTCTTTTAATAACCTAATGGGCCAGCAGCTTTAATTTGGAGCTATAATTAGAATAAATTCCCCATGGCACCCTCTCAAAAATAACAGTGATATTCCAGCCAGCCACAGGGTAAATGCGTGTAAAGTGTGGAGACACAGGTAAGTTGTAGTAACATTTAGTGTTGCTTTACAGGACAAAGTTCACAGATCCCGCAAATGATTAAAGGTGGTTTGTGGGAAAGGGTTATTGTTGTTGTGTTAATAATGACCCTAGTTTCTGCCATAAAATTAGAGCACACCAACGTTACACACGGATTCATAATAACGTTAGGGGTTAACCAGTACGATTAGCAAAAGAAAGAAACAGAAAAACTTAAAAGTGGATTTAGCAACAAGACGACGATTGCAAAACAAAGGAGGTTTGGTTTAACGTTACGCTAGCTGTATGGCAAACATCTAAGTTAGCTAAAAGTATGTTAAGCTACATTATGTTTAGATTTTGAATTGATTCCTAACTAACGCGATATTTCATGTCCTAGTTTGGGCTTTTATAATACAGCGATGGTTAGGTACCGTTAGCTAATATCACGTTAGACAGACCTGCTTTAGCTAATATTTTACTAAAATTTCTTTACCTGGTCGCCTGGTGGAGATTTACAGAATATCTGTAAAACATCCTCCCTTGAGACCACACAAGACTAGTCGTCGCCATGTTCCTCTGCCAAATGAAAACTTCTCTTGAAATGTAAACACGCTAGTATAGTTAATGTTTACACCCCGTATCAGTACTAATTTGACCTGCGCCAGCCCGCCGGAGATTTAAAACACGACTGAGTGACGCAGTACGCACAGATCAATACGCACAATCAATCAGACATGATTAGTTGAGGGTGCCTTTCACTGATAATGAGAAACCTTAAAACAAAACCCATCAATGACTGCTTCCATTTTATGGGTACCTTGTTTGTGTAACGTTAATACTTGAATACGTTAATAACGTTATGTAACAATAATAATAATAGTTTTTAAAATCATCCCACAGCACTAAAATGCCTGCCTTTAGCATTTTACTGATTTGATTACTAATTCATTTATAGTTATAAAAGAAAGTACATTATCAGGAGTAAAAATACTCATTATGATGAATAATTATTTCAAATAGTTAAACTAAATTAATAAACTTATTAACTGAATTACTGTATTGTAATAATAGACTATGTAAGTAGCTTTGGTCCAGATTTTTATTTATTTATTTTAATGGAAAAGCTCGTTCTCAGCAAAGGAAATACAAGTACAACCACAGTTATATAGTGGTGCAAAAAGTACCCCGAAAATTCTTGAGCCATGTAATTCTACAAAATATAAAACTCATATAAAATACAATAGGAACCTCAACATTGTACTTATAGTAAATTGTAAGATTTTACATATTTGGGTGTTTTTATGGACAATAATATCAAATCAAATGAGTGGGCTGTATATTATTTCTGGGTGTGTGTAGGAGGGATACATATCTCCAAATGACAGTTTACTGAACATTGAGTTGTCCTGCTGCAGGAAACAGGTCTCTTATCTAATAGTGGACTATTCTTTGAAATCTGGTTTCGCTATTAGAATAGTCATGCAGTACTTAAATCTTTTTTGTGCAACCCACTTTCATTTCTTTTTTGTACACAATGTGGTGCTCTCTGATCCTCTTCATCATTCTACCCACTGACATTATGTAACATTAAATCAGATCATACCTAAAAAGAATCAAACTCAGTATCTGTATTGTATGTCCATGTCCAATGACTTTAACAACGCTGTGTTTCAAGCAATAGCTGCACACATGCTGTGTATGTTTTTGGAAAACTACCTCTGAATTATCTTTATTTTCATTTGATTGCATATTTAACAAGTTTTATTTCATCTAGACATGTTTTATTCAGAGGAATATGCTCTCAAAAATGGCATCAAAAATGTAATCTCTTTAAAAATGATGTTCTTGCAGGCATCCTGCCTTTGGTTCATCTGTTGACAAAATGTCCACAAGGCTTTGACAAGACTCTTTCCATCTTTTCTGGCATAAATGTACAGCACTTACAGTATAATACTTTTCAAGCCTTTGCTTTTCTGAATGTGCCAATTCTGCCCCCATGCTTTACTGTAAGTGCAGGGAATATTTCTTTCACTGCCGTATACAAGCCTTCAAAATCCTGGTTCAATGTGATGTCCTAAAAAGAGTAATGAACAAAGTAAGTTTGCCTCCTGCAAAAAGAAGACGATGTGCAGAAATTCCCACAGAAGTGACATATGTGTGGCTTACCGAAAACTCTAATGCCTCCATAGCTGAATGAGGGTTTTCCTGTATAGCCTTGAGGATCCCACAGCACCCGACATTCTGGATGGGGTTCATGCCCATCTGAAAAATGAAAAACATTAGAAATCTAAGAATAGGACAACACTGCTGATGGGGTTTGGGTTATGTGGATGATGAAATAAGCTGTTAGGGCTATTATGGCTTTTAAAAATTGACCAAAACAAAAGAGTTCTTTTGACCAAGGAGTGAGAAATCAATGCCAGTTTCATATTTGAGCTGGAACCAGGACCCAATTAACTTAGTTTAGTCTTGCTTAGTATAAAAAAAATGGAAACACATAGCTTGGCTTTGTCCAGTGGTAACAAAATACACCTAACAGCACCTCTAAAGCTGACAATTTCCTATTAATGCTGGGCTATGTGTTGTAATAATTCTTGGTTGGGACCAGTAGCTTCCTGGAGTAATTGCTGGTTCTCAGAGCCAAGAAATAGCTGGGTATCTAACACCCCCATAAAACAGCCAATCTTTCTTCTTCCTTTTGCATTTCAGTTCAAGTTATAAAGTGATCATTTGCGGACTGGTAGCCAGACAATTGGATAGAGCTTGTATAGCTCTTCCCCCCTGCTTCCAGTCTTTATGCTAAGCTAAACAGCTTCTAGTGGTAACTTCATGTCTATTGTTGTACAGGCATAAGAGTGATACCAATCTTCTCATCTAACTCTCTACCAGAAAACAAATGAATATTCCAAAATATTGAGCTACATTATACAGAAGTGAAAGAAAAAAAACTGATGACAAGCAATTAGGTGCTATTAATGCAAATACAAATCATAATTAATTAATAATTAATTGAGCTTTCAAACGGATCAATTCTTTTGGATCTTGGACTGCTAGATTTACCTGCTTACAATAAATTTATGTAATCGAATGTCCAAACTCTATTTTCAAAACAGGTGAACACATATGGTCAACATCAAATGCTCAGGTGGTAACTTAAGTTAGTGTCTTCTCTATGTATTTTTCAAGCAGTTAAAATGAGCCCCTGAAGACTCACCTTGGGCGTTGACATTAAAACAAAGTATAGTGATCCATTTATTTATTCCATTTTATCCAGTGATGCCCCCCACTGCTTTTGAAGCTGGAACCTATCTCTTTTCTACAACTTACATTCAGGGATTTGATAGTTTTGTTTACTTTAAGGCCCATGGCGAGACGGATGGCTCCTTCAGGGGGTATTCGATTGTTACTGTGGCGAGAAACACAAACAGAAAACCAAAAAAAGTGTGTTGGAGTGTGAGGGAAGCAATCATAAAGTGCTATTTTTTAAATGGTATTATTTATCTATGAAGCACACATGTCTGAAAATTTGTGAGGCAAGCTTGGCATTGCTTGAGGAGTTAAACAAGAGGTAGAAGAAAGTAGTCCAATTACTTAATTCCCTTAAAGAAAAAGATGAGCGCTGTTTAAGATTTACTGTTAAAAGTGCAAATCTGGTGGCACAAATTCACCTCATCAGGAGTTTCATAAAGGATATCTTGTGACTCACAGGTAGCACCAAACTAGGTAAATCACATTATTTGCTCCCAGACGTGATTTATAAAGGAATGAAACTGAAGTTGCAATCTCTGCCCTTTTAACTCCATGACTGTTATCTAATCTAATGATCAGAAACCAGGAGAACAAAGGCTCTTACCTCACATCCAACTCCTCCAAAACGTTGTTCTCTTTCAGAGCCTGTCCTAGAGCGACGGCTCCTTCTTTACTAAAGCCATTAAATGACAGATCCACTGTTCTAAGGAAAATGTTTCCCTAATAAATAAGACAAGGAATGGTCTTTGGTAAAGTGAGATTTAGAAAAAGATGCTTAGCCATCTCAAGTTCAATGACAGATTTTCTAACAAGACAACAGAGGATCCAAGAAACAATTAAATTAAATATGAGAGTGCAGTACACATCCTGATGTAATAAACCTCTCAGGACCTGAATCAGTCAGCTTACTGATCAGGGTTTCATTGACCATCTTGGTCATTAAGATATGGAAAGAAAAAACCCTGCTGCACCATTTGCTATGACAAGCTTGATGAAAAACAAGGCCAGGGGTGTTTCATAAAGTAGGATAAGCAGGTTAGTTTAGTTGTGATAGTGGCTCCTCTCCAGATTTTCAACACTGCCAATTCATTTTTCATTAAAAAAGATTTTGTGTTGTGCACACTATATGGACAAAAGTGTGCAGACACACCTGTACAGCTATTTTTAGCTCTTTGTCTAGAGCTATTTGTCACAGGATAAGGATAAGGATAATTGACTGTGGTTCAGTGGGTAGAGCAGTCGTCTCCCAACCGGAGAGTTGGAGCTTTGAATCACGGTGCCTGTAGTCCACGTGTCGAAGTGTCCTTGCGCAAGACATTGAACCCCAAAGTTGCCCCCAATACTTAGAGCCATCGGTTAAGTTGGTGCCACAGATGGCTGTCTCAAACTTCCAAATTTGTGGAAACTATTTGGGAAATTCCTCTCTTGTTTCAAAATGATGACATCCCTGTGCACAAACCTAGGTACATAAAGAAATGCTTTTCTAAGCTGGATGTGGAAGGACTTAATTGGTCCGCCCTGACCTCACCTTTATCCAACACCTTTGGTATCAACCAGACTGAGGCGTCACCTTAAAACACAATAATAAGGATGGACTGCACTAATGCTCTTGTGTCCAAATGCCAACAAATGTGTAGTCAGGTTCAAAGTTTTTCTGAGAAGCCTTAACAGAAGAGTAGAATCTCTTAGTAGCATATTAATGCTCAAATTTTTTGTATGGGATGTTTAACAAACAAATTTGGCTTTATTGTTTGGGAATCCACAAGTTTTGGGCCAAGTACTATATGAGTAATACATGATTTATTCCGTTTTAAAAAGAGCTATTATAAGTGCTTTATTCTAACATTATAGCAGTGTTCTAAATCTAACTTGCATGATTCATTATTCAGTGCTGTCATAAAAGAGCTTAAAATATGTCCTTGTCCAAGACTTCACAGTATTTATTTGTGGATCTTCCTTTCTTTTGCATGAGTTCAAAATTTAATATAGTCTAGTGTTCTAACATTGATTTTCAGGTGCATTACCCCGAGGCCATTGGCCAACATCACAGCTCCTCTTCTTGTAATGCAGTTCCAAGACAGACTTAGTGATCTCAGTCCTGTGTTCTCTGACAGAGAGTCCCCAAGGATTTGCCCTTAAGATAAAAAAAAAGTTAAATCACTGGCAGCATGACAAAATAGAGTCTGACTGTGTGTTTCATGGTCTTAAAGCACTAGTGAATTCATCCCAAAGAGAAAAATCCCCATCATCGTCTCCCTGCACTATTGCAAGGATAAGAAACTGCATGTTTTCTAATCACAGAAAAAGATGCTATTGGTGTGTGCTGGCTGGAAAAACAATAACACTAATACACCAATAGCAGCATAGCATGAATGTCAGAGTGGATGATCGGTATACTTTCCCTCAGAGACCTACTATAAGGAAGAGTACACACAAAATGCATCAGGATGTCCTTTGATATTTCAGCAGTAGAGAAAACAGAATTGAGTACGTTGAAATGAATCACAGCAATGAGACACAATGGTGTCCAGTTCCCTCGAGACAAATTTATTTTCAGTTACCTACATTGAATGCTCAAAACAGCCTCTGCTGCCATTTTTCCACATGCTTGTCAGAAAGCTCCTCTGCATGATAACTGAAATCGGTCAAATAAGACCGATGACTTCATGAGCTTCTTTACTAATAAAATCACAACTATTAGAGAAAAAAATTGGTCGGACCACTCCCACAGCTCTCACGGATGTGCCATCTACTACAATGGCTTTAGAAACATCTGTAAGACCTCATTTATACTTGGACTACTTCTCTCCCATAGATCTCTCTGAGTTGACCCCAACAATTGCTTCATCTAAATCATCAACATGTCTCCTGGACCCCATCCCGACCAGGCTGCTCAAAGACATCTTTCCCCTAATCAACACATCCATACTAGATCTGATTAACCTCTTCCACACAAACTGAAATTAGTCACGTCATTCCACAGGGCTCTGTGTTAGGTCCAATTCTTTATACATGCTCCCTTTAGGCACAGCATAAATTTCCATTGCTATGCAGATGATACTCAGTTATATTTATCTATGAACCCAAACAAATTAGATCAGCTGGTCAAACCTCAAGCATGTCTTAAAGACATAAAGGCCTGGATGACCTGTAACTTCTTACTAACTCTGACAAAACCAAAGTCATTGCGCTTGGGCCTGAAAATGTTAGAAATCTGCTGTCTAACTATATAGTTACTTTAGATGACATAGCTCTCACCTCCAGTACTAGTGTGAAGAACCTTGGAGTCATTTTTGAGCATGATATGTCCTTTAAATCACACATAAACCAAGTCTCTATAACTGCCTTCTTTCACCTGCGCAATATTATGAAAATCAGGAGCATCCTGTCTCAAAGTAATGCTGAAAAACTGGTCCATGCATTTGTTACTTCCAGGCTGGACTACTGTAACTCTTTACTATCAGGATGTCCCAATAATTCCCTAAAAAGCCTCCAGTTAATCCAAAATGCTGCAGCCAGAGTACTGACAGGAACTAGCAAGAGAGATCATATCTCTCCCATATTAGCTTCTCTCCACTGGCTCCCTGTAAAATTCAGAATAGAATTCAAAATCCTTCTCCTATGGAACCAACTCCCAGTCTCAGTTCAGGAGGCAGATACCCCCTCTACCTTTAAGACTAGACTTAAGACTTTCCTTTTTGATAAAGCTTATAGTTAGGGCTGGATCAGGTGACCCTGAGCCTTCCCTTAGTTATGCTGCTATAGGCCTAGGCTGCTGGGGGGCCCCATGATGCTCTGAGCTCCTCTCCTCTCCTCTCCTCACCACCCTCCGCCCACCAAGAGCCGGGGTTTGTCGGAGGTTTCTTCTGTTAAAGGGAGTTTTTCCGGTCGTCAAGTGCTTGCTCAAGGGGGATTTGTTGGGTTTTCCCTCTGTAATAATAGTGATAACAGTAATGTCTAGATTATACTTTGTGAAGTGTCTTGAGATGACTTTTGTTGTGATTTGGCGCTATACAAATAAAATTTGATTTGATTTGATTGAAATATTGTCCTCGCCATAGTTTGCTGCTGCTTGCTGTCCTGTGACTGTTTAGCAATGACGCTACACCATTAGAGCAAACTCTTGGTTTTATGAGAATGGTTTCAAAGAAATCTCATCATAGTTGACATACCAGTAATTGCATATAATAACTACAATTAAATTTTGTTTTAGCTGAGCATCTGTCTTTTATAAAATTTTATAAATTATGGCCAGGTCAAACTAACACAAACAAATAGAATTCAGACATCCTATTTAAATAAATATATTCCCTGTCAAATTTTTTTCTATATGGCCAAAAGTATGTGGACTTATTTATTACTGTAGCCTACTCATTTCTGTTTCTATGTGTTGGTGTAGTTTTCTTTTTGTACTGTTTCTCATAGTTTGGGCTTTTAGTCACTTTAAAGGAAATTCAGAGAATAGATATTGATATATTTTAGATAGTGGTGTGCTTCCAAATCTGTCTAATTTTTAAGCCTAAATCTCTGACCTCAGCACCATCCAACACCTTTGTGATGAACTGGAATGCTAACTACAAACCAGATCTTATTACCCAACATTGTTCCTGGGCCTTACTAATGCTCAAAAATCTGGTGGAAGAGTAGATGCTGTTTCAGCAGTATCTTAAACAGCTTAGGTTTTGGAATGAGCTGCTCAACAAATATTGTGTTTTTGTGTTGACAATGCTTTGTTAAGCTGTCCATGTACTTTTGGTCCATAAAATGTGTGTGTGTGCATGTGTGCATTTATTTTATTTCATTTGGCTCAAATTAAAGTGCACCAAGAGAGAGCGGGAAAGCTCTGCCCTAAGAAACTGGACTCATAACTTCTGGGTTCTGACATTCAGCTCTACAAAATGGGGGCCATGGGCAGCATTTCATTCTCTGAAAAGCTATGACCTCACAGAAAATATAAGACCTTCACTATTTATAGAAAATTGCTGTGCTACCTGCACGCTCTCCCAGAGCATTGTGGCTGAGGTCAAGGTGCTGTAGCTTGGTGTTGGTGACAAGAGCTGGACCAAGATTTTCAGCAGACTGGTCTGTGAAATTGTTTCCTGACAAGGTAAGGCTCATGAGGGTGGTGTTCTCCTTAAGCATACCAGCTATGGCTTTGGCCCCATAATCTCCAAGATTGTTGTCTGATAGGTCCACCTCTGGGATTGACACACAGATACACAGGTCAAAAGTCATACATGGTGAAAAGAAGCCCAGTTAAAAGAACAATGTGTAGCAGGTAAAGCTGATATGATTCTGAAACCTCCTTTTATCAAAGCTTCGAAGGTCATGTCAAAGCAGCGCAACAATCTCCCATCACTAAAAGGGTCCAGAATCACATGTGAAAAGTGTTCTAGCTTTCTTTATTACAGTTACATTTGGTAACAGAACTATTACTGCTTTAGAAACATCCAAAATTATTCCCTTTCTTAAAGGCTAAATATTGTTAGACATATTCACTCATCCTCTCCCTTCCCTGAGGAAATTCCCCTGGGAAGAAAATACAGACGACTTCATTTTAAATCTAAGGAAGTTCCCTGAAGCTATTTTACTGTTGAATGGCAAACCTGTGGCGGTCATACCTGCCATTTTTAGCCACAGTAGCAGTATGGCTCTGTAGCAGTGCTGACTGGTTCACCACTTGGATCCAAACTTAAATATCTCAATAGCTATTGGTGATACTGGTAAGGAATCTTGTGCAGACATTTGTGGACCTCAAAGCTCTACTGACTTTGATAATCCCCTGGCCTTTAATGCTACCAGCAGGTTGACATATTTGGTTTTACTGAAATACCTGTTCTTGCCCAATGTCAGCTGGACATCCAGACCCCCTCACGACCATATTCAGGAATAAACTGCATAGATAATAGATGGATGAAATACCTGTAGCTTAACCACAGTTGGTCAGGTTACATGATTCTCAAATCATAATTCCTAATGCCTTTGGTGATGCCAAGAATAAATAGGATAAATCCAAATGAATAAATCTATCATAAATCTAAATAAATCACCATAGGATACATCTCTTTGGTGATCCCTTCACCCTTTACATACATTACCATCATCTGGTCAACTAAAAACTACTCTATTGTTCTACATATGAATAAAAAATTGGAATATCATTGAAAGCTGAATATTGATGCATGAAAAATGTTTAAAAAATAATGCGGGCACAGATCGACTGCATGACTCACAGGAGTCATTCACCAGAGATCCCTCTATAGGTTCCTGAACTACACATAGGGTACAGTATGACTGACATTTAACACAATACTAAAAAGAGACCCTGAATGTTAAAGCATGACCTGTGGCTTATAATTGGTTTAAGAGGGGTGTATGAGTGGGACTGGAGGTGGGAGACACAGTGAAGGAAAAGGAAAGAAAATGCATGCATGCTTGGGTGTCCACTAAAAACCACCTGTAATGTAACAGTTTTCCTTTAACATCTCGGCTATAGCAGCTCCGCCCATTCCCTCCATCCAATTATCTCTCAGGTTCAACTTTAGTATTGAAGTGTTGGTTGCCAAGGGAACCGCCAGTGCTTTGGTGCCCTGCAAACATACAACCAAACCCGCCTCAAAGTGAAATTCTTCTGTTTGTTCATTGTAGTCTTTTTTCTTATCTGTATTCCAGATAACAGAGGACAGTAGATGCATTGAAGCAGGTGGGCAGAGGAGAGAGAAGGGGTGGGGGGGGAGAGAGAGAATATTAAACCTGTGTGAGACAAATGAAGCAGAAGGGAGCTGTGAGGAGGCGTGGGTCAGAAATGAAGCTCGCAGAACATGAAAATTATAGTTTCTAGCACGGCAAATGAAAAAGTTGAATGCATGAAGCCTTATGTTAACTTGAGCTTTTAAAAAAGGAGAACAGATACGGCCCCATCAGAGGAGAGTGCAAAGTATCCTTCTGTAAGAACAGACAAGCCCATGAATCTGGACGAAGAGTTGGCAGCCACATTTAGTCACTTTCCTTTTTCTCTCTGTGATTGACAGGTGAAGAGTTTTTTTAAAATCCAATTTAATCTGCCTGCAAGATGTTACTGAGGGCAAGCCCTCCAGAATTGGCTAGTTAAGGAATGGGTTACTTTTTCAACTTGCATTTATAGCCTTATGGGTCAGTGGAAGCTGTAAAAATGTGCCATATGCAAAGTTGTTTTGCTAAGAGCTATACATTTTCACATCCTCTCAGTGAGAAATGTACAACCTCAGTGCAGTTTTACATCATTTAACCTGTTAAAAACATGTCAAACTCTGGGAGTTGTACCTGAAAATTATGCTCTAACATTCCCCATATTGTGAAAACATCATACTAATAATAGGCTGAAAATTAATTAATTAAAAAGATAAAATACATGAACCACCCCTTCCCCTCTAACAATTTTTGTCCAGTCCCTATCACACAATTAAATTACCTGAGGTCCCAAACAGCGATGTTTGATAGACAGCTCGTTATTGTTCATGTGCTGCAGGAAGTAAGAGGCCGGTACCACCTGTAACTTTTCACATGCCTCCATGTAGCATGACCGCCCTGTCAGGTCATATGCTTCCTCCTTACCTGGAACACAAATAAAGATGGTAGCTGTGGTGTGGGTTGGAATTGTGCACTGTCAATAGCTCTTTTAAAAAAGGAGGGATTCAAAAGAGATAAGGCACTTTCCCCTGGAGAAGGACCTTTTCAGCATGATATTGAAAACTTGCTCGTTGCTGATTTCGCCCTGTCAAGGGAGCTCATTCAGACCAGATGGTTTTCACTTCTGGTGAAAAGGAAGCCTGACACAAAGACTGAGATGAAATCATTAAGATGCAGAACAGGGCTCCACACGTGTGGGAGGGCGTGTGTAGGAGTTTCTGTTTTGCTTTTTGTTTTCTTTTCTGAAATCGTTTAGAGATTAAGAAGATGGAAAGGCAGAAGGAAAAAGATTAACAGATGGGGTGACAGGAGGGCTTTGCCTTATCAATGCATGTTCTGATCAAGATCAAATTAATACTCATGATCAAAATATCATTTCACATAGAAAATAACAGGATGAAATGGTTCATTTCAAACATGTCTCACATCACCAAGACATTTTCCCACTGATTCAACAGAGGGAACATCACACCCTTTATCATTAAATGTAATAACCCTCCCTCCAAATTCATCTCCCTTTCTATCTAAATCAACTTTCTCTATACCTCCGAGCTCCAAATCTGTGTCGTAATCGTCCTCACAGATCGCACTCTGCTCTCCTTCCAGCTCTTCCTCTTCATTCTCTTCCTCTTCCCCTTTCCCCTTGCCCTCTCTTTCACCTCTGTCATGTGCATTCCCATCAGGACTTGAGTGCTGGTCCTCTTGCCCACGCACGTCAACCTCTGTCTGGCTCACTCTTTGCTGGATGGGGAATGAGAAAATAAGACATCATGACCTGTAAAAGCTGGCTGCTGTTGGGGGCCTGAGAGAGGAGATTTGATGGATTTGCCATCAGGAGAATAAAACTGATACCTACACTTTGGACAACTGAGTACCATCATTGTGGATCGGCCAATTAAGCTAGTGTCCTTCTGTCCTTCCAGTCTTTGTAACTGCTTCCTTTTCCTTTCTACACACTCCTTTCTTCAGACCTCCTTTTAAGCTCTTGAACCAGTTTAATTTTACTGGTATTACACATGTTCTGGTGTACTTGTGGTGTGTCTGCATTTGAAAATGTATTGCTTTTGGACTACATTTCACATGCATATACCATTAAGTGTGCAGCCCTGTGATTAGACTACATAAGTGTAATTACAGCAGACATTCAGGGTTAGACCAAGTCCCCTCTGTTAGAGCCATTCATGCCAGAACACAGGTGAAAAGAGAAATTCATAAAAAGGAAACAGCAGCTCTTTAGCCTGTGTTTATGAGTGTACCCAAGGCAAGGAAAGTGCTCAGACATGTCTGGAAATGATGGTGTGGCTAAGATCTCCATTTCTAAAGCCTAATATATTCTTGCAGGTCTGTGACATGTTTTGAATTGTCACCATAAGTCCTTTGCTTACATCTAAGGCTTCATAAAAATCTGTACACAAACAGTCTCAGAAGTCTTCACTTGCCTACCTTGTTACTCAAGAGTTTACAGACTTGGCTGGATAGTGAGCTTCCTACCTCCCCCTGCTGCTGGTCACTTTCTGCCTCCGCGTTGTTGTCCTCCAGCACAGAATGCAGCAGCGTCTCCTTGACCAACTTCTTCCCGTGAACCATGATGGACACTGACTAATGGTTGTATTAAAAGTGAGAACAGTCTTTTGCTGCCTTTGTGCAGAAATTGCTGTCTAATTTATTTTTAGATCCTCATATTGGTAAAATACTTGAGCTGAGTGAAATCACTGCACTGCATTTGAGCAGCAGGTAGTGCAGTATGTGTTCATGCAACCTAGCTTGCTCAGCAGGAGGGTCAAACTCTTTGGGCTAATTAGAAAAGCCTCTGCCTCATTACTAACATCCAGTCACCAATGGGAGTTGTGTAATACTTGGATGGCATGTTTTGTTGACAGGTTGCCATGGTGCCGAGAGGCATCTGAGTGCCGACCAGCACTTATAGGCAGGAAGGGAAGCAAATAGCTTGTTTGCTGCAACTCTGTTCTTCAGTTTTTCAGAAAAAAGCTCTTTATCAGCATCTAAATCTGACCTTCAAACTAAATTGCTTCAACCTTAAACAATATCTAGTGCAAGAATAAGCCCTCCCAGTCTGGCTTTGTTCTTATATAAACAAGAAAAACAAACCAAGCAACTGTGTTGAGATATTGTGTAAATGTTTCTCTTTATTTGTAAGTAAATGCAAAGTCCTTGCAGTTGATGCATTAAAATGGAATATCCTTCATCAATTACACAAAGCACGAGCTGACTGGATCAAAGTTGGTCATAGCAGCAGCGATATGCAAATGGAAAAAGAAACCCCTCAAAAATGTTTTATCCCTCCAAAGCCTTACGAGAAAGGCAGGACCACCTCACGATACAGTTTCACTGACTGACAAGGTGCTGAGATTTTTAAATATGAAGAGGAGACAGAAGATCACCAAGCATTTATCTCATGCTGCAGTTTTATTCCCAAACCTAAAAGATACAGCATGAGAGACACCATATAGAATAGGCCTTTTTTTCTTTATCAAGCAGAATCATAGTACTCATTTACATAGTCAAAATACATTCTTAGAAAAGACTGAGGTGGTTCTCTTCATATTTTATACTATGTCTTTGAATATATATATATATATATATAAGCTTTATATAGAAGCTATATCTTTTGTTTTCTTGTTGCACATTTTACATCACAAACATTTTCTTGACGACTCTTGTTCCAACTGAACAAAATCTGTTTAAACAAATTATACAGAGGAGACGTTCATCCAGAATGAACAACAATGGGGACAATGGGAATCGCCCATTTTCTGCAGGCCGTAAAAAAGTGTTGAAAAAAACAAAAACAAACAGTCCCTGTTAGGGACGTTTGAAAATCACACTGAAATCAGTTAATCATGCTGATAGTTATTTTTAATTTGAATCAAAGACAGAGAGAGGGAACAAACAAGACTCCGAAGCTGACAAGAGAAGCCACAGGTCACTGCAAAGTAGGTGATCGATAAACAATGTGGCCCCAGCATGAATATATTCAAATTACAACCCTGACTCATTGGAAAGCAAAAGATGACAGCAGCAGTGCGATCGCCTCTTGTCTCTGAATGAAAAACTTCACTGGAACTGGAACACAAAGACCGAAATGCAGAGATCAAAGCTAAAAGCCATGTGGGCAGTTTCCTGTTAACCAAAACACCATCTGTGAGATTACATTTGCAGGCTTGTGACTCACTGCCTAATTCATGCTTATTTTAAAATCTGATCATTTTGACAAGGTAACATACAACAAGCAGTATATTCATGTAAAAACACACCTGAACACATGCATGTTTATACCCACTTGTATAGAGATGTGCACACGTCTTCTATGGCACATGCGCGCACAGACATGCATGCTGATGCTACTGAGCAGGCGTCAGGTCACAGTGAGAGGGTGGCGCGTCAGCAGCAGGGTCGTGTACAGTAAAATCAAGCAGTGACTTATAATGCTGGTAAACAGGACATGACTGGGCCAAGCTGGCAGCTGTGGTTATGACCTGGGCAGCAGAGTGTGCTAAAACAGACCCTTTTGCTTCCCTTAACAAAGTACTGTTACAGAGGTATTTTAATAATGATTTGACAGTTTAGGAAAAAACACTGAAGAGTAAGATGAGAAGACTGATGCCACTATAAAGTATGGTAAATATGGCCCTACATAGCCAGAAGCCACTTAGCTTTAACAAAACAAACCAAACAAAAAAACTGGAAAACAAGGGAAAGAGCTACTGTAGCTTGGCTTTCTCCAAAGGTACAGTTACAACCAGTTCCTCTAAATCTCACTATTTAAGATGTGTCTTTTTTGTTTAAAGATAAATTGTGGTTTTACACTGGGTCATGTGTATATACCGCAGAAACAGATAGCCCGGTCAGACCATTTCCATTCCATTGCCTGGGAGAGATGATTTCCTTGCAGAGAAAGAGTCCGTACACAAATTGCCGTAAAACCACTGTACATGTATAACGGGAAATGGCAGGAAGATACTGTTACATTTACACCCCATTTCCAGTTGTTACGCTAAGGCTATGCTCAGGCAGATTTTAGCCCTGCATGAAAAACGCAGCCTTCTCATTCAGGGGAACCAATGCAGGGCTGTTTCTCTCATGACTGACTGCTAGCTGTTGCTTCATATGAGACAAAGTGGTAAAGGTATTCTCACCAAACTATCAAAGTCAAGCAAGAACGAGAACATGCAAGCTTCCTAAAATGTCAAACTAGTCCATTAACTTGTGATTTAACCATTGAGCAATCATCTAGTATTCACGAAATCATTTTCAAAACACTTTCCCTCCCACGATAACTACATAATTTGACACAAACCAGGTTTGTTTCATTATAGTCATAGTGTATTAATGCTATAATTCAATAGCCACTGTATATTTTTAAATCTGAGAGTCATTGAAAGTGTTAATATTTTGTAACAGGTTCAAATTTCATCTTTAGTGCCTGCTTTGTGGGTTGGGTAAACACCAGCTGAGACACATAAGATTAGGATGCAATGAGAGAATGGACAGGCCACTAAAAGAGCGGCCACAGAGGCTGATGCATATTGATGGATTACCAGTGCAGGCCGAGATAATATTTGTTGAGGCTGTGAGAGAATCTTTGTTTTCATAATTCATGGTGACCTGTCAACATGTCAAATTTGTTGGCAACAAATATGTCTCAGTTTTTCTGTCTGCATGCCTGTACATCTCTCACTTTTCTAACCCGTCTGGAATCCCAGCCTTTAATATCACGACAAACAGCCCGAGCAGATTTGACCAGGCCTAATTCTTTCCTAAAATGTAAAGTCAACTTAATTCATACTTAAGTGTGTGAGTTTGTTATCAGTGTCACACATTTCCTTATCCAAATATAAAACCTTTTAACTGTAACAATAACAGAGTATATTATATTACTTGAGTATATTCTTGTCTTGATCATGCATTCACAATGGGGCAGGTCATTACACTAGGTGCACACATTATGAATCAATTTATCATTTTTGGAAGTTTCATCAACAAGCAAAACAAATTCTCAGAGAACAGAACATTTCCATCTTGCTACAGACAAAAGTACAGAGCCCAACAGAAACATTAGAATGGCATAAAAAAAGAAATAACCCCATTTTTATAGTACAAAAATTGGCACAGTATTCTTTAACCAGTGTTGTTGTGGCATCCAGACTGATAGTTGTCGGAAAGCCCCCAGTTCACAAACCTATGAGCAGAAAACCCTGAGAGAGAAAAGACAGAAGAAGAGACAGGAAGACAGAGAGAGAGAGAGAGAGAGAGAGAGAGAGCGCAAAAGAGATGGAGAAATAGAGATGTTACAGTCATTAGTCATCCAGTGAGCAGGGGCTTTGATGGCCAAATGTGAAATTCAAGTGACAATCCACACAGGAACCATTGTCTGTGATGCATTATGTTGGTGCTTAATGAGCTATAGTGGCTATGTAGCACCCTTGTTTGGCTCTCATGGCAAGGGTATATGAAGTGTCTAATCTTGAATATGAACAAATAATGGTGAAAACAAAAACAGAAATGGAACAGAGCCACTCGCTTTCAGTCTAATCCTTTTAGTTTGAAGGCCTTCTCCACGGGTTTCTATGGTTACTCACTCTGTTTTCATCTGAAACTAGGGGTGATGACACATCGACGGCGCCAACAACCACGGGTTGCAGTCTGCCATTGGACTTACACAAATGTCTTTCTGAGACAGAGCTGCTCTGGTAATCTCACTGGTTGAGACATGCAAATCTCAATGGGCTTTGCCAAAACACTTTTTTTTTCTTTTCAAAAAAGTGAGTTAATCAGCTGGAAAACTGGAGAGAAAAAGAAGGATCTGTGGTTAAAAAAAAACAAAACAAAAACAAATAAGACAGCATAGAAACCTGCACAGTTTAGTGGTGCTGACAAGCGAATGATCCTGTTTTATATGTTGTATGTATAAACTAGACATTAGCATGTTTCCTATGGTGCACCAAAACACAGACTAACAATAAATCAAAAAAGGAAGGAAGGAAATTTATATATGAATGATGTAGGAAGAAATGAAAGCAAAATATTTTCTGGCTTCATTTGGTGTATAAGGTGCTATTAAAAAAAATCTTTATTTATACACACATTATTGATTGATTGGTTAAGGCAGTGGTCTTAAAATCAAATGGCCTTACAGCCACTGGCTGGTTTACTGCTTGAATATTCAGTAAAAGATTTTGCTTACAGCTGGAATTATTGCAGCTAAGACACAGTATGTTTTGGTACAGCCAAAATATTAATGTTGCACAGTTATGTGCAGCTTGCTAAATGTAAATGAAAGATCCAATCTTTATGCTCTGATTTTGCAGTGTTCTTACAAAATGATTACTTGTGGAAAATGTTTTTACATTTGTGCGAAGATGTAGCAATAAACTGGAAAGCTATCTGGTCTCTGGGCTGCTAGCTTGAGATCCCTGCTGTAGGCTAACTACCTAATTTAATAAAAAACAAATACTGCATGTCTCGATAACTATTAGCTAAATTGACAAGACATTTACTGTAGTTATTTATAGTCCCAAGAGGATGATCCCTAGTGATCATGGTGACTCTGGGGCCTTTCCTCTGTATTTAGTGACTGATATTCATGACCACTCAAAGACAGCTGCTAAATTCTGGTGAACCCCTGACCTGTCCTTCAACATCACCCAAAATATTCATATGTAGTGACATTTCAAGAGTTCAAAGTTCCTCAAACCACATAATGCAAGCCACTTACTCATCTGAGTCCTTTTTGCTCTCTTCTATGTAGGCAATGGACTCTGAGCGAAGCCTGTTGGTGACCT